ATAAAATCGGTGAAAAATCAGCATGGGGGGGGGTGTCTATAAACATATGACACCCCCCCTCCCGTGAAACACAAAAAGCTTTGACATAAATTTGTTAAATGACAGTCCATATTACCTGTAAGAAGGAATTTTTGTTTCATGGGGGGGGGGGGGGGGGGGGAGATGTTTTAAAAATATTTTCCGTTTTCCGTTGATTTCTATAGTGAAACACCCAAGTTTTACCAAAATTATAAAGTTATCTCCTTTTGGTTTCCCAAATAAGTAACGTTTTATGAAAATTCATATAAATATCTATAAAAAATTTTAAAATCATTCGAATATGTTAACTTTTGAGAATTGACTTAGAGGTAGGCGGGAGAACAATACTATCGTTCGTAGTTCTTGCAGCATCTGAAACTTTGACTAGTACAATGAAACACACTAGAACCATCTTTCATGCATGTTTAATCAATATAGGACATAGAAGTACTTAAAAAGAAAACTGCTACAAAAATCTTAACATTAACCTGGGACGCCGACAGCGACGGTATTACATAAGCTCCCCCAACTTCGTTGATGTGAGCTAAAAAACCTCTAAAGCACCACCAATAGCCCCATACTTAATAGGATCTCTGCTAGCTGTCTATGTTAAGTTAAACATACAAATAACTGTAGTCTCTCAAACGCCTCTAGAGCTTCACCAATAGCCCCGATACTTATTAGGAGCTGTGCTAGCTCTCTCTGTTGAAATAGAAACCAATAGACCATATATTTAATAGGAGCTCTGCTACATGTAGCTGTCTCTCTTAACACAGAAACAAATGGGCCGCCGGGCACATAGTGTTTTACAAACACATCTTGTTCTATTCAGTTTTTTTTATTCCTTTGAAATTCTTAAGTTAAATTTGAATTCCATACTGTGGCTCCCATCCTATCTCAGAGGGACCTTATTTTAACAAACTTGAATCTACACTATAGAGGATGCTTCCATATAGTTAAATATACATGCATGACTTATCATGTTTTTTGCTATTTATGAGATTTTTCCAACAATGTAAAAAATTTGATCACTGATTTTGTCCTGATTTGAACAAACCTGAATCTAAAGGGCCCGATGATGCTTCCATATAAGTTAATATCAATAATCAACTAACCCTGTGATGAAGAAGATTATTTATAGATTTTTCAATACATAAACTTTCACAAATTAAATTTTCATATCTGTCCATTTGCTTACACAACTATATTTATGTTTTTGATGTTGTATAAGAAAATATATTACAAAATGTCTTTTTAATATGCATTTTCAATTATTCATGCATCTAGTTCTTTTAAATAAATAAAACACTAAGCTATGATTATTAAATTCACTTGAAATGATCTACTACCATCAAAAAAGCATTGTTAAAAGCAATTGCATTCAAGGTGTTTAAATCCCTAACTATAGACCAGGAAGTATAAACACCTGACAGGTAGATACAGGTAAGTGGGTCACGTGATCAGAGTGTACTGCAGATCAATAGGACACCGCCATTACTGAAGTCAGGTAAAAAACATAGGATGAGTGATTGAGGTATTGATTAAATTTTAAAATTGTATTTATAATAAAAATCTTCAAAAGTTCATTGATGCACAATTTAACAATTATTTCAAAATTTCTTTCTTCATGATTGAATGCACGAACATGTTTATCTTTCTGTGTATATCTGTCAATTTAATACTGTGTTTGTTTAATGGCCTCAGATTATTGTAAAAATGGAAAACATTCTGTTTTTTTCTTAAATATTTACTATGTTCTAGATTTAAAAAAAATTCCACAAACTTTAAACCATCGTGATTATAATTTCATTTCTAACCTAGATGAAGTAGAATGAAACTTCATTTCTACCTCAAAACAAGCTTAGCACCTGAATATTTCAAATGATTCTCCATGAAATTACATTACATGTAAAACCACCATGAAAGGTAACTTTCTAATAAACCGTGAAAATAAAGAAATCTATAGTATACACAGGGTTCCATTTTATGAGTGTCATATTGTCTTTGTCCAGTTCATTTTGTGATCAGTCATGTCAATCTCTAAACACACTTTACTAATATGACAAGAACTATTTGTATGTGTATTATGGGATATACTGAAATCAAAGTGGAAAAAACCTACAGAATATATAAAACAGATTTTTTTTAATTACATGTACTTGAAAACATCACATACAAAATGACACAACATAAAGGACTACATCATGTATCACCAGATATCATTTTCAAGGGAGATAGGTTAAAGAGTGTTACTGCAAGAATTAGATTATAGACAGTTAGTTACTGCATTTCAGTTCTGTAAAGAATTCTTGATGTAGACATTGAAAATAAAACACATAATTTATAAATTAAAACCAGCCACAAGTTTTTTCATATTTTTAAGAGAAATTGAAACAAAATAGTTTAGAGAAATTAATTTTTTTAAATTTTGGCCAATCCCGATCAAAATTAAACAGATCCCGACCATAAAATTGGAAATAAATAATTTGTTTACATCTGTAGTTGTGACTAGTTTAATGGTGTTTTTAACCATAGGTTTAAAAAATATTCACAAATAATGTGTTTTATTTTCATAAATAATTTTTTATAAAAAAAAATAAAAAGTCTAACCAGACTTTCTTTACATATTTTAAGAGTAGGACAAGTAAAAAATAAATTGTTTAAAAAATGGACCAATACTAATTTGTTTACATCTGTAAAGAGTAGGACAAGTAAAAAATAAATTTGGACAAGCATCATTTGTTTGAAGCTTGTACGAGTAACAAATGTGTACTTTAATTTGTTAATGTTGAGCTCGTATGAAATGTAGTTCTCCGAGTCTGCCAAATTTTCTGTTGCCTCAAATCCAGTCAATAAATGTATAATCATTTATACATGTATATTGAACTTCTTTGGTTTCAGTCACAGAATTAAAGTATGGACCCCCGTACCAGTGCCCAGGATGTGACGCGATGTTACCTGTGTGAGAACGATGTGGCACAGATCCATTGTGATACATGTCTTGTCAACCTGTGTACAGCTTGTGTGGGAAAACACATGATATCTGATGAATCCAAGGACCACAAAGTTGTCAAATTTCAGTCCAGGAAATCTACCCTTCTCTACCCTGAATGTTCAACTCATCTCAAAGAGCGATGTAAAATGTATTGTAAACAATGTGACATTCCTGTCTGCATCAGCTGCCTTGAATCTAATCAACATTTAGGTCATGAATTATCTAAAATCTTGAGCGTTTTGGATGAAAGGAAGGACATGATTCTAAAGGAAAGAAATGAATTAAATGACAAAATTTATCCAACCTACCAGGACATTGCCTCTGATGTACAAAACAGAATGAGTCAGTTAGAAAAGGAATATGGAGATCTCTCAACAGCCATAACAAAACATGGAGAGGACTGGCACAGAGAAATTGACAAACTTGTCAAGAAACTTAAAGCTGAAGTTGATGAGATGAAAAACACACAGTTACAAACTCTACAGAAACATCTGGATGAAATAAACAAGAAAATGTCTGATATAAAGGATGATATTAATGCAGTTGAATTGGTTATAGACACTAATGACTTGTCTAAACTGTTTAGCGTAACAATCAATGTACATATATACAGAAATCTTCCGCAAAAAATTGTGCTATCTCTACCCAAATTCATTCCAGCAAATATTCAAGGAGAAGAACTAAATAATATGTTTGGAGCCTTATCATCAAGTTCTTTAACATCAGATAAACATGGCTACAGCATGAAGACAACACAGAAATCACCAGAAGCTGGATCCTCTCCTCCAGTCAAACAGCTGCTTGATGAACCAGAGACTGTCACCACCATAGACACTGGGTATGGGAACCTTTACAGTGTAGCCTGTCTGAGCGATGAAGAAATCTGGACATGTAAAAGTGACACCACCATGAAACTCTACAGCATCAATCAGGGATCACTACTCAAGTCAATCACAACCAAGTCAGGGACCAGACCATGTGACATAGCAGTGACAAAAAGTGGAGATCTAGTTTATACTGATTACTGGTATAGAACTGTGAACATTGTGAAGAATGAGAAGATAGAGGAGGTGATCAGACTACAGAACTGGAGACCTAGCAATGTATGTAGTACCTCCTCTGGTGACCTCCTGGTTATCATAGAAAGTGATTATAGAAAACAAACAAAAGTTCTCCGATACTCTGGCTCCACAGAGAAACAAACCATTCAATTTGATGATAAAGGTAAACCTCTCTATTCATCTGGTGGTAATAACATATATATTACTGAGAACAGGAACCTGGATATCTGTGTGTCTGACAATGGAGCTAAAGCAGTAGTGGTGGTCAATCAGGCTGGGAAACTGAGATTCAGGTACACTGGACATACTCCTGCTCCAAAGAACAAACCATTCTATCCACGAGGAATCACCACAGACAGTCAGAGTCACATCCTTACAGCTGATTATTACAATGACTGTGTCCACATCATAGACCAGGATGGACAGTTCCTCCGTTACATAGACTGTGGACTGAGTGAACCCTGGGGACTGTGTACAGATACAAATGACAATCTGTTTGTTGCTCAATGGGGAAATGTGAAGAAAATCAAATATCTGAAGTGAAATGCATCACTGTGTTGTATTCTATATAATCAAACAAATAGAAGTATGCAATATCACTGATACATGTATACTTGTATATTAGTATGCTGCTCAATGATACTTGCTATCATATATGTATTTTATTTCTTTTAAACTGTATAATCATGATAGATCATACTTGTAAATATGGAAAATAAAACTGTAGTCTCTTAAAAAACCATTGAAAGCACTCCACTTTTACGGTGCAGTTCAGAAAGATGTCTCTGTAACTTGTCTCTTGATCCCCAACATACAATAACAAATCAGATAGCAAACTAGTTGTAGTTCATATACCCCATTAACATTCATGGTTTTGTGCATTTTACAGTTACTTCTACCAGAATTTTAATATTTAAAACCACTGTTTAATGGTACAGTTTTACCTCTAGTTTCCAAAATGGAGGAAGCTTCACAGAGAAGAACAAGAAGAGCCTGTCTAATGGCGGGGGGTCATTAGTTTTCATCTGATTCACCAACTCCTGTAATACAGACACAAGCTTTGTTTCTACAGTAGATGCCAGATAAACTTCAATAATTCTCAAACATCAAAATCTGAAATATCATGAAAAGTCCTTTACATTTATGTATTTACACTTAAAATAATTTAAAAAAAAAATTTTCTTTGCTGAACTGAAATAGAAATTTAACTGTACCTCTATCTGCATCATAGACCTCTCCACTCGTCGACGACTTCCTTTCTCCAGACAACAAGACCGTCGATAGAGACAGGCCAAAGTAACACTCCAGCATTTCGCCTGAGACAAAACACACTACAACAAAAGTTAGCCATCATTAACTTTGTGTCCTGATCAATTCTGCTTTAGTTTAACCAAATAAGTCCAAACAGACATAGAAATTTAATTTGATACCCGATATGTTAAAACTCATTAAATCAGACATAAAATGAATAGCTCAGGCCGGAATTAAAAATATCTTCATTTCCCCTAACCCGACCCTAAAATCTCAAGTTGGGTCGGTAGGTAGGTAAACAATTTTATTTTCTGACAGTAGCTTTGAAAATACATTTTAAAATTTAATGGAAATGTACATTCATAAATAAGAAAAGCACAAAAGAAAGCTATTTGTGAACAAAATGCTAAGTATCGTACATATGCCGTTTAAAAACAAAATTCATGATTAATTAATTCACAACTGTTATTTAGATGAACTAGTGAAATATCTCATGCCATAACATTTATATAAATTGAAAAAAATAGACAAGACTCTCAAATACGCAAAGACCGGACAAACGAGTATATTTTTTCAAACCTTCCATCAGCCTTCAGAGCTTAAAGAAGATCAAAAAACTTTTTAGAGGGCCATGAGATTTGCAGTGGTTCTGGAGCATTTTGTTTTGAAGTTAAGAAGTAAGTGGCTAAGTTTAAATTGCAAGTTAAAATCCCAATGAGTAACGTTAAAAACAGTCCTTCAAAGGGGACTATAGAATCGTATGTCCAGTGTCACAGAAGATGCCTGCTCAAAGAAGATCCCCCACAGCTTAATGGCAAAAAAAGTGCTGAGTATGTCTAAATTTAAAGAGATGGGGAAATGTTTAAATATCATCCTAACAAATCTTAAAGGGATAAAAAGCAAAGAAACAACCAATTTTCAAGGGCCTAATTAAAGAAAAATACACTGAACATCTCAGGAAGCTGAATCATGATTTCAAATCTATTTGGAAAGAGCATGTTAAAAATTTTTAATTGAACCAAACCAAATCTACAAATGATAAAAATGCTATATACAATGTCATAGTCACGAAGTTTAACCACTAAATAAAGGCATGAAGGAAGGACATCTTAATATTTTAATGGTCAGGATGAATATACAGACATATTTACAACAACTCCTATGGTTCCATAGTGGCATATAGTAAACATAGGAACATACATGAATTGGTTATTAGATCAAAACTCAAAATAAATACAATGCAGTGAAACTGAATGATGTGTTCACTAGGTGGGCCCCTCTTCTATTCATGAGGCAGGCCTTACCATATATTACATACCTTCAATTCAAAGACAGGTTTGTTTGTTTGTTGTTTAATGTCCCTTTCGAAAATTTATTCACTCACATGGAGACGCAAAGACACTTCCGAAACACTCTTAATTAGTCATGGTAAATTTTATTATCGAATTGTTTCAAGAGTGAAGAATTCCAATTAGCTAAAAGCATAAGATTGAGATCATCATTGTTTTATGAAGAGCTAATGCCCTGTAATCACATCTTGGATGTCATTTTGTTTCCAACTAATGCTTAAAAATCACAGTAGAACAATGTCGGCCGTTCTGAGAAAAACTGATTTTGATGATATTGTATTTTATAAAACTTGGTTAACAATAAAAAAATATTTGAATTATCTTAATTAAAACATCTTTTCAGTCGGCGCAATTTAACTGGGTCAGTCGCATTAGGGGAAACAAAGGTATTTTTTAGTTTGGCCTGAATATCAAAATTTTGGAATGTTCATAGCTAGGAACTCTTAATACATGTAGAATTTAAGAGATATTTATGTACTATGTGTTATTCTCTAAAAATAGATAGAAGATGGATCCCCCTAGCCTCTCCTTTTTCAGTGATTACAATTTAACCTCCATGAAAGCAGTAGCACCCCCCCCCCCGCATTGCCTCTATGTGAGCAGTAGCCTATCCCTTACCTCTAGCTATAAGTAAGTACCGGTAGTAGCCCCCCCCCCCCCCCTCTCTTCCCTGTCCCTGTACCTCTATATGAGCAGCAGATTCCTCCTCAGTCAGTCTCTCTTGACTCGCGTGTGTCCTCAAGTGATCCTCCCTTAAAATAGAAAATAAAACAGCAATGATTTATTAATCTATGGAGTATATGAACCATGGATTGAAACAAATGTTTCAGTCTTCTGGAGCACACTGTAGACATACTTTTTTCCACAGGGTCATATTTCAGCAGAATCTCAATATCTGTTTAATCCGGATGTAGAAAATTACATGGATTTCCTAGACTGTAAATATATGCCTTACATCTATATTAAGAATGCTTGGACAAATTTCCATGGTAAATTTGTGACCGCATACCTAGCTTAAATTAATACCACATGGAAATAGTACTTTTACAGTATATCAATCTGAACTTCACATATTGACCTGAAAGATCACAAATTAATCAAGTTATAATATTAGAGCTATTTGATTGTATATGTGCATTTAAAGAATTCAATTCAAATAATTTAAAACAAATCAAGTGACCTACATAGTTGCTATGACAACAGCTTGTTCCACAGGTGACATGTCGACAGCAAACTCTGTCCCTGGTTCTGTCAAATTAATGGCGTCTAATACCGTGTCATCATCTAAATTCAAAATCTGGAGAAAAAAAAAACAAAGTAAGCAAGCAGAGGCGAGTGTTCCCCTTTCTATCAAAAAAATTTAAAAATTCCAAGACAGGATGAATTTTGTTTAACCTTGAAGGTTTGATCACACTGTATTCTTTTGTTGGTTCTTCCCTCTTTTATGAATTTTCCCTTATAGAGCCTCAAACTAATTGTATTCTCCTGTTAAGTTCCTCCTCTCTTCCCTTTTACTGTAACCTTTAGGAGTTTAATTTGTTATGTATTCTCTTGCTTGGTTCCCCCTTCTCTACTTATGACTTTTACCTTTGGAAGCCTTGTTTTGACTGTATCTTCTTGCTTGGTTCCCCCCTCGCCCCTTTTGACTTCAAGAACAAGCTGGGCTTTGTCTTCTACTTGGAATCTGGTTCTCTTCCCCATGGCACCTTAAAAAACATCTGGAGAGTCATAAACCTGGTAAATGTAGGCACAGAAACATGACCACTGAAGTACATGTCTAAATTCATTCAATTGTTGTACTGTAAATCACGTTTTATTTGCGAGACCTTTTTTTACACATATGTAAGACAGCATGCTCGCAAAAATATCATTCTTGTGTATGTTAGCATTCCTTAAGATTACATAGAGTAGTAGCCATAATTAATATTCGTGAAAATTTTGCCTTGTTAGTAGAGAGTTTATGTCTACCTCACAAAAATAAGGTTTCAGGAAAATTTAGTGATCTACAGTACGTGTTTCAGATCAGTGGAAGGGGACATTACTCCATAAACTTCACAACAAGTGGCCTTCTTCTAATACTTATACTCGGAAGTCTACCTGTATTAAACTACTATGAAAACTGAAATCAACCGTATTTTGTGTGATTTTTCTGGAAACCTTACCTGTTAAGTTTATCTGAAGCCCTGTACATTTCTTGGCAGCAAGAAGGTGCTCATGAGCCAGCTTATAATCAAAGAACGTATGTCCAATGTAACCAGCCTCGATATGGAACTGTGTCAGTAGGTCCCTACAAAACAATACAGTTGCTACAATAAGCACAATTAGATACATATTTATCCACCCCTCACCCCCCTTAATCTGTCTCTGTCTAAGATTCACTTAACTGGCTTCATGCCCACATCCCCACATTTACATCACTATACAGTACCTGTTTCCATCATCTGTCATCAGGGGCTCTTTCTTTGAGACTACAAGAAAAAAACAAGGTTAAGCATATAAATAAAACAAATCTTTAAAAGAAAACAAATTACTCAACAGAAAAAATGCTCAATAGAAAACTGGCAATATAATATATATGGAATATAAGGAGAGTATAATAATTTTGTGCTATTCAAAAGAAATTATACAGAGATCTTATCTGGGATTTTTGTTATGCAAACATTGTGCACCCTTTCAGTTTGAATTCCAGTTCTTATGACCTTAGTTTTTTTTCTTACTTGTGTCAATTCTTTGATCTTTAGACAATTCTTACCTGTGTCAATTAAAGCGTGCACCTGCTCTCTCAGGGAGGCACATTTATCCTCCAGAATCTGTTGGTAGATGTACACACTCCTCAAAGTCCACCACTCAACTGTCTGTTAGATCATACAGAAATATACATACATCAAAAAGTACATCCCAAAAACATCATCATCAACTTCTCCACTACTTTTCATAAGTTTAAAGTGTTCATTTGTTACTGTATATAAATTAGTTGATTGAAATTTGCTTCTTAACATGCATGCAGAATGACGTACATAAAAAGACAAAAAACCTGATGACGCTTTAGCGAAAAACTTACACAACTTTACATACTTATGGACTCTTGAGTAGGAGCCTGATACCGAGCTAGGATTCACTGGGCTATAAAAAGGAAATAAATCCCCCCTAGAGAATTTAAACCTCCCTGTCACACCTGTACGTATCTGTAAACTCTGTGTATGAGTCTGACACCCAGCCAGGACACACTGAACTATAAATAGGAACTCTATCCTCCGACATAGACTGACACACGTCACCTGTACGTACCTGTAAACTCTGTGTGTGAGTCTGACACCCAGCCAGGACACACTGAGCTATAAATAGGAACTCTATCCTCCGACATAGACTGACACACGTCACCTGTACGTACCTGTAAACTCTGTGTATGAGTCTGACACCCAGCCAGGACACACTGAACTATAAATGGGAACTCTATCCTCCGACATAGACTGACACACGTCACCTGTACGTACCTGTAAACTCTGTGTGTGAGTCTGACACCCAGCCAGGACACACTGAGCTATAAATAGGAACTCTATCCTCCGACATAGACTGACACACGTCACCTGTACGTACCTGTAAACTCTGTGTGTGAGTCTGACACCCAGCCAGGACACACTGAGCTATAAATAGGAACTCTATCCCCCGACACAGACTGACACACACCTGTACATACCTGTAAACTCTGTGTGTGAGTCTGACACCCAGCCAGGACACACTGAGCTATAAATAGGAACTCTATCCCCCGACACAGACTGACACACACCTGTACATACCTGTAAACTCTGTGTGTGAGTCTGACACCCAGCCAGGACACACTGAGCTATAAATAGGAACTCTATCCCCCGACATAAGCTGTACACCTCCTCCCCATCACACATCATCTCCTGACATATCTCTTTACGACACTGATCCACCTAAATAAGTTAATATAAAAAACACTTATGGATAAATATAGATATTCTCCCAATATTAACTATCAATTACAGTAATCATTTAACAAAAAAAAAATAAAGCTGACAATTAACATGCATTTTTTTGCACATATCAAGATACATAAATTTAATGCAAATAATTAATCATCATTTACATTTATTTTTTCGAGAAAAATTTATAATGATTACTTTTTATAAATTAATTTTAAAGAGCTTTTCATTTATATCAATAGTAAACATGTACTTACATTATTGGAATCAGAAATTATGTTGATGAGTTCATCAGTAAAACAAGCCAGAGGTCCTAACCAGTTCTGACAAACAAAAATCTGTAGACAGGCAATAGCTACACATAGAATCTCCAACTCACTGAAAACATAACAAAGGTCTGTGGACAAACAATAGATACATAACAGTAAAACTCGGTTATAAAGAAGTCACTGGGACCTGTAAAATTACTTCGCTATATCCTTTATTTGTTATATCAATAAAACTTAAAGGAATTCGTTCAATCTAAATAGCTGGGGATCAAATATAACTTCACTATATCCATAAATTCGCAATATCCGTGTTCGTATTAAAGGAGTTTCACTTTATTATGATCAATAAATGCACTGAAATATCCTACATCAATACGAATGTCGGACTGCTCGGCCCAACGACACCTCGGCCCAACGACTCCTCGGCCCATTGACATCTCGGCTCCGACGGCTCGGCCCAAATTTGAAGACACCTCGGCTCACATAAAAGACACCTCGGTCCAAACAGAAATATAAATTATTATTTCAATTAAAAATATTTATTATTTATGTTGATATATATATCTATAAAATGCAAAAGAAAATTAATTTGATACATTTGCAATCTTCCAAGACGGCAAATTAACTGTTATTAAAGAAATACGATCCATTAGTAACTTGATTAAATAAGTGCTAATCATTAAACAAACAAGAAGACGCAGTGCATCCTTTAGAGTCTCGAGCGCGTGTCATAGGGGGTGGTGACTATGAGGAGTTAATTATGAGAAGCCACAATTGGGAGTTAATGTTAATGAAAAGTTCCTTTAATTAAGAAACCATTGTTGATATTATTGAACTGATTTGAAAAAAAATATGTATTGAGTTTTTAAAATTAAACATTAAAATATGCGCATTTTTTCTTTAAAATGGCTAATAAATATATTAATAATGTATTATGTTGCATTGTAATAAACAACAAAGTCAATAAATAGACCTGTTACCTCCCAATCAACGGATTGTGATTTGATGTTGTGCTGTGGTTTGTTAGAAAATACTGAAATTATCGTAAATTTATAGTAAACGTATAGTGATTAAAAATACATAGTATGTACATTTACATTACCATGAGAGGGAAAATACAAAAACAAAAACAAACTAATTAAAACAAACTAATTAAAACAAACTAAATTTAATTTTATTCCTAATGGTCCGAGCAGTCTTCGGTATGGGCCGAGGTGTCAATGATTTTGAGCCGACCTGTCAGGGCCGAGGTGTCAACCAGCACGGGCCGAGGTGTCGTTGGGCCGAGTAGTCTGTCTACCATCAATACACATATATATATTTAAAAAAAAGGATTGAAGTTGCATACACTTTTGATTTATTACATTACTATATAAAATGAAAATCTATAAAGAACATGTCTCCTACCATTCTGCTGTTGTCTGTGTGTCTGTCTGGGTTATAATCCTCTTGACATTTTCTGCTACTAAGTTTTTAAGAAGGGGAACAGAAGTTCCTTTTCTCTGAAGTAAATCTTTAACAATGGGATACTGGAAAACTTTAGCATAATCGCCACCCAGTACACATTTCAAAACTTGATTTGATTCTGGAAAAAAGTTTTTCATATTATTAATTCATTCTAGAAAACTACCTTAAAGCCGTAGGTTTTTACCAGTATTCATACATGTCAACCAAGCAACAAACCTGTATTTATGAAAATGGAAAGGTCGCTGGGGAACTATTGTATGAACCCAATAGTGATAAAGCAATATACACAGTGATGAGAATATAATGAAAGACTAGTCAAAATTGGAAAATAAAGAAGATTTCCATATCAACGCATTGATTTCATGCAGCTCATGCAGATATTTCAGTATCTGTCACCATTTGACGTAAAGTTACTTATTTATCATTTTGGTAGTACTTACCAGGCACAGTCAATTCTCTCCTGGGTACAAAACTCAAAATTAATGTTTCGAGTTCTCTTATTCGTTTTAGACCCCTTTCCATATTAATATTTTGACAATGTTTACAAATTTCACGTGTTGAGTCAAAAGGAAGCAGCCATCTTGAATCACGGGTGTTGGTCAACTCGTACTATGTTTGACTCGTGATCAATTAAGAAGAATGAATTCAATTATTTTTTTTTATCAGATTGAATTAGTGGAAGGATACTCAATTAATCCAAGTATTAAGTATAAGTATTGATAGAAAAAAAAATTCGAGATAAAATTTTATTAGACTGCAATATCTAGAATTAGATCATCTCTTAAAATTGAAGTTTTTATTTTTTTTAAATCTAGAAATAAATTCTGTAGACATTAAAATACACAATTCCATTTTAAAGTTTTCATTTTAAAAGTTACAAATATTGAGAAAAATCTTTTAAAACAAAAGACCTATAGTTTACAGAATGTTAAATACATTTCATACAACTTATTGCAAAAATTATCGCCCGAGGCAGAAACCCGAGGCAATACATCATCATGTAATTTACAGGGTCAGAGGTAAGACGTCTTAATAACCCCCGGAGAGACACGTGTAGAACAGGAAGAAATCAGGCGGCCATTTATTTACAAACTTAGCGTATACAGGTAAGTTTTTATTGTTAAAATTCTTCATATTTAATTTTGGTCAAAAAGTTCTTAATTTACTTCGCGTAACGTCCATACATACGACCTGGTTAAAGAATATTCAGCTAAAATTCATGCCAAACTTGCTGAGAGGAATTGAAAACATACTATTTGGTTTTAAATGTATGTATGCATATGCTAAATTTCTACCGGTTCAATCTGATGAATCAAATTCAATCAAAGAAATAAAATTATTATTAATGAACGAATTTTTGTGGTTGCTTTTGGGGAATTCTCTATATTTCCTACGACTCAGAATTATAAAATTAATACATAGAAGTTCATTAAAAAATTTTATGATCGTGTCTTAGAAAACATATTGCAACTTTAATGGCGTTCATATTTAACCCAATAAAAAGACCTAATTAATTCGCTAATTAATTATACTTGGTTTAAAATAGACTGGGTTCCCTAATTCTTCTTCCACTAATCGTTTTTCTAAAAGATCCATCAAAGAAAAAATAATAAATCGAAATACTGATATTTATATGGAATGGTAGCATTATATTTAACAAGAGTTTTATCGATTGGCAATATGGAATAAAAATATTTCATCTTGATTTATAATTTTAACACATGATGCAGGAAAAGAAATTACATGCTTATTACATGTAGTACATGTAATTGAACTGTTCATTTGTTTACGACAGGAATGCTTCGTCTGTTTCCTCTTCTATCATTGGCCGTCTTGTGTTGCCATGGACATAGTAACCACGGACAACAGGGTGGAACCCCAGGACAACCCGTACCAGCTGACCAGTTTAACTTCCACGACCCGAAAGTCACTCAGGATGAGGCGTACGTATAATGCATTATACAAGTTATATACAGGGACATAGCAACAGGGGGGGGGGGGGGGGGGGCTGGCCCCCAACTTTTTTCCCAACCTTACTTATACTAAAGGAAATGTTAATAGTTCTAAAACCTGGTTGCCCCCCCCCCCCACCCACTTTTAGTGATGTACCGAAAATGTAGTATTAGAATTGGTACTGAAAGTAGTTGACACTGAGAAAAAGTTAACCCCCCACCACCACCAACACCACCACGAAAAAGGATTTTTGACTGTGGGCAACTTTTTTTTTTTTGCTTGTCAACTTTTTCAAGTGAGTAAAAAAAAATTTATCTGGCTGCCCCCCCTTTCAAAAAACGATGCTACGCGCCTGATGTATATAAAAAAACTGAGCAGTACATACCTGCTCGCAGAAACTTATTATAGTAACCCCCCTTCTGTAGCTGCAATAATTTAACCCTCTCCAATTTTTTAATCTGATATTTTCTGGAGAGGGTAATGTATTATGTTGTTTGATTGAACAATGGTATTGCAAGAAATTTGGAACCTACCCCTCCCCTAACCAAAGTAGGATTTTCGACTTTGGACATTTTTTTCATGTATGAAGTAGAATTTTTTCTGTGGCTGCCCCCTTCAAAAACGATAATACGTTGCAAGAATTTGAAGGAAGGGTAGGTTTATTAATGACACTGAATGTGCTTACACTTATAGCATTTCTCTGTCTTTAACAGTCATTTGAAAGAACACTTGAAGGACCAGATCGACACAAACAAACGAATGACACCGGAGGAGATGGAGTTCCATTACTTCAGGTAACATCAAGAACCATGGCTGGCTTTTATATACATGTATAAAGGTTATGTAAAAATAAAAAAAATTATAAAACTTCATGCATACGGGGGGGGGGGGGGTCTCGTCGGCAGAGGATGCTCACTCCTCCGTGGCATCTGATCCCACCTCTGATATTTTGGATGCCCGTGATTTATCTGCTCCAAAATTGCATTGTTTAAATCCAGGACTTTTTTCCTACTGACAGGTTACACGACACAAACAACGACACAAAACTGGACGGGCTGGAGATCATGGCGGCTTTACATCACATGGGTGACATGTTTAAACTGCAGCCCCACGAGAAAATGGGTAAAACACCGGAACAGATCGCATCAATGGAGGAGGAGAGACAAAAAGGGGCCCTCAAGTATTTCACAGGTAATGAAGTCATTAACATAATAATAATAATCTTTATTGCATATTACACCCATATGGGTCAAGCAATACAAAAAAGAAACAAAATCAATGAGAACAATATACAATATCCATATAGAAATTTATTCCCTAAATGTTACACCGATGTGTCTATTTCTCAATTCTAATAAATGTTTTATGAAAGTGTAAACAGCCGGTATAACTTCAAGTTTTGGACTTAGTATATATTCAAGTTTCTGAGTAGGTGACATAGAATATGGATTAATTTCTTGACGTCTTTTCTCAATTTCACAGGTACATATGATGCCACAGTCAGCAACATCGAGGAAAATATACTGGATCGATACTGGTGGTGTCGGGGGGGGGGGGGGGGGGGGGGGGGGTAAGAGCTTAATTTCTTGACCAGTTTTCTTTAAGATATAGGAAATCAATTTACTACCCCCTACTCCAAATAGCCGTTTTACCTTTCACCAACAGCTTCTTCTCACTAGGATATCTTATTACATTAATTAATTCTTACGAGTATTAACGGCGGGTGTAACCTGGTCAGCAGGAGATACTCACTCCTCCATGGCACCTGATCCTACTTCTGATCTTTTGGAGATCCGTGTTTATCCTGTTCCTATCTTGTATTATTTTGCGGACTTTTGATCTTTAATACTGTTTGTTATCTCCATGTTTTATTTTGACGTTTAATTTTACAGATATCATTGACCGGGTCTTGGTAACGGACGATGTTAACAGAGATGGCTACATATCTTACCCGGAATACATGAACGCCAGAAAGCGGGACTTCCACCAGTATCAACAACAGGTTGCCATGCAACAGCAACAAATGGCACAGATGCAGGCCGCGCAATTCCAGCAGTTCCAGCAATTCCAACAGTACCAGCAACAACAAGCTCAAATGGCGCAACAACAGCAACAAAAATTCCAACAGCAACCGAACCAAAATCAACTACCTAATACGCAACAATTCCAGCAGCAACCACAGGCCGGCGCAACTAAATCTTCTTAAGGGCACTGCGTAGGATCTCACCTTTCAAAATGAATTTCAGGAGTAATATCAACTTCCATTCAATTTGATTTATCTCTTTATGGACTTTTTGTAATTTTACGAGAATAAAACTGAGTGAAAAAAAAAATTTTTTACACCGAAAAAGAAAATTTCCAAACCACTGAGAGCTCGAGATCAAAATATGTCAATGAAGAATGGTGCGTGCATGTATTTTTGTTGTGAATTGTCTATAATTGTTTGGTTTTTGGTGCATGTACATGTATACCATATAGTATTTGTGAGCCTTTAATTATTTAAATTTGAATAACCATTAATTTATGAAAGAAAGAAAGAGAGGAGAGAGAGAGAGAGAGAGAGTTGAATATGAATATGCCGATTTATACAATTTAGGGTGCATAAAATTTGTTTTTTGATAATAAACTGAAATATATACTATTAATTTGTTTAATTGTTAATGTCGCTGTATCCAACATACACATGTAGGATGGTATGTTTCTTCATATGGTATGTATTACCTCTGTCATTTTCATTATGAATTGGAAGTTTTCAATTCTTTATTTTTTTTGTAGGGCGACAGTTGTGTTATAAATGTCAACTTATAAATATTGTCAACATCTACACAATTAATGACATAAAAATTTATATATGTCGTCGGCCATAAAATACGCAGGTGAACATTTTATATATAGTGTCATTCCCTTCGATCAGTAAGGGATAAGAAAGGGGTCTCCGTAGATTCCTAGTAAGGTTGTTTTGCACCATACAACACTTTTCAGACCAGTAGAAAAACGGGAAGGGGGGGGGGGTGTTCGATCTTATACTAACATGTACATGTATATCAAACATGTACACTAAATGTAATAAAAAAAAAAAAAAAACAAGGCCAATTTACAGAACGTAACTTGCGACCCTATATAAAAGGATTGATTGATTAATTGACTGATTGATTGACTGACTGATTGATTGATTGAGGGCATAGATAAGGAATGTTCCATGAACCTCAAATATCCAAAATCATAAATAAGTCTATAAACGTCACAGTTAATTTGAAAATGATCAAATGAAAGTATTATGATTCTCCTGGTGGGATAGGAATCTTACTCGCCCCCCCCCCCCCCCTCCTCCAATATAAATAAAAGAAAGAAAGAAAATAATCCATAACATTTCTAAGAAATGTCTATCAAAATTTCATGATTACTCTGTTGTTAAGCCTAATATGAATAAAGTCTTGTGACATGTAGAACGAGCATGGATATTAATATGGGCGAATCATTCCTAGTTCGAGTTATCAAGTGTCGGTGCCCCGAAATTTATTTCCCCGCAAAAAATCGAAATTATTATTTTCATTTCAACAGTAGCCTTCCATATCTCAACAAACTAAAATAATGGGCGAGGAAATGAACATCACAGAGGATGAAGCAGCATTATATGACAGACAAATTCGTCTCTGGGGGTTGGACGCACAGCGCAGGTATGGTTTGTGCTTTCTCGAATTTCCTCGGTTCAACATTTTAAGGCCCTTCTCATCATCTGTTTGTTCATTATCCGTTAATTACTTTACAGGTTACGTGCCGCGAAAGTTCTCCTGATTGGGCTGAAGGGACTCGGCGCGGAGATAACAAAGAACATTGTTCTGGCAGGAATCAAGTCTATAACTTTGTTAGACAATACACAAGTAAATTATTAATCAAGTTTCCCGTTCACATTCACTCTATATCTTTTAATAAATATGAATAGCATATAAGGTTATAAATGTATTTTAGGGAATGACCATTGGGGCAAATTTTTTCTGCAGGAGGTGGAGGAGGTCAATCATTTCATTACCAGATATGATTGTTAATACAGGCACGTAGCAACAGGGGTGGGGGTGGGGGGGCAGGGGGGCTTGTCCCCCCCCCACTTTTTTTTCCCAACCTTACCTTTACTATTGAAAATGTCCATTGAAAGATTGGTTGGCCCCCAACTTCTTACCACAATATAGTGATATGAGTGAAATGTAGTATTGATAGAGAAAAAAAATGGAAGTGAATAGAAGTTGACCTTGAAAAAAGTTGGTCACTACCCCATCCCCACCCTCATCCCCCATCCCACACTCCACGAACTAGGATTCTGAGTTTGGGGAAGTTTTTTTTTTTTTTTTTTTTTTGCTTGTCAACTTTTTCAGGTAACTTAAAGTAAAAAAGTTTTTCTCAGGTTGGCCCCCTCACCTTCAGAAATGATGCTACGTGCCTGTAATAAGGAGTCATGTGCCATTTATGAAACACTGTGTTTATTAACTTTAATACAAATAGAAAAAATGATGTTAATACCAATGCTGTCAATAATTGACCCCAAAGATATCGTTGGGTTTGTTTTTTTGTCAATTTCCCTTCACAAGTCCATGAAGCAGAAGAAAAAAACCCCTTCCTAAATGTTCATAAATGAGTGCAGATTTTATTTTAGAACGTTTGGAAGACATGCAAATTTTAATATTTATAACGTATCACATAATGATTCAAAATGTGTATACAATGAAATACTATCATTTTTTTTTTTTTACAAATGTACCACCTGGGTTAAAAAGCGATTAAATGATAAGTTATGAGTGATGCATTAATGCTGATACAAGTAATACTGTCATAATTTTGTTTTCTTTTTCCAGTCTACAGAAGAAGACAGTTGTTCACAATTCCTCATCTCTAGAGACGACGTGGGTAAAAATGTAAGCCTAGAGTTAATTGTTTGCATATATGATATACATGTAGGAAAAAAGTATATTCTTTTATCCTTAGGTCTTCTTGTCACACTTGGTTGCCATTTAAGTGGAGAATGTTTTGTATATTTAATTATCAGAGAGCGGAGGCGTCCCTAGAACACACTCAGCGCCTGAATCCTATGGTAGAGGTGACAGCAGACACACAGAGTGTAGAGGATAAAGCTGACGAATTCTTCACCAAGTTTGACGTCGTGTGCGCCACATGTTGTAAACAGTCCTCTCTCCTCAGAATCAACAAAATCTGCTCCGAACACAATATCAAGTTCTTTGGAGGGGACGTGTTTGGATTTTATGGTTTCATGTTTTCTGATTTAGGAGAACACGAGTATGCAGAGTAGGTTCACATGTACTTGTAACTTTTTCAATCAGTACGTAATATTTAAGCCTGTGTGATTAACACACCAATAATTGGGTTTACTGTATTTATGCCTGAAAATTAAACAGTTTAGTTTCATCTGTTGGAAGAGGAATGAAAAAAAAGTGTAAGCTTCATTAAACATGTTAAAGCTTTTAGTAAGCAAATGTTTAAGAACTCAGGTATCTAGAAGGATTATCTGAATTTTTCAGGTGTGTTAATCACACAGACTTGCCATGTAGGCATGGCATAATTTATGAAGCATGCTAGCACTCATGAAAATCATGCCTATAATTCGTTTATCTGTATTTCATGCTTGAAAATTAAACAGTTGAGTCCCTTCTGTTGGAAGAAGAATGAAAAAAGTTTTAGCTTCATGAAAACTATTAAGCAGGTATTTAAAAACCCAGGTATTTAGAAGGATTATTTAATTTTTTCAGAGAAGTTCCCAAACCCAAACCAAAGGAAGAGGAGGGGGAACCAGCAGCTAAAAAAGCCAAGAAGGAGGAAATAGAAATGGTGACAGTAAAAAAGGTACAAAACATTTATATGTTACTGTAATCATACAGTACTGACCAGAAATAACCAACCAGAGTGAACCTGTAGGTACAGTGTATTTGACCAACTTTTGATATGTAACTGTGATTTTAAGTAAAGTGTCTATCAGTATGACCAACTTTAGTCTTACCCTTTACAGTATGCTGAGAGTTTAAACAGGTCGAGACCACTAGATTCTCTGACGTCAGAATAAATTTGCATGTAAATTAGGTATATGTTTACTTTCCCGATTTATGAATGAGTCGCGGTGCATTGTGGGCTACTACACGTTTCACTATCAACATTGTGTATTGAAAATATACGCCAATTTGAATCGTCCCTTGGAAAGTCATTTTCAATTCTTTCTCGAAATTTATTATATAGATATTGAAAACTAAATCTGATCTTTTATTTCTATGCTCACATTTAAAAAATTTTCTTTCTGAAGCGATATATAAGCATATTTAAATGCTACATTGTGCTGAGGTATGTGCTATTGAATTGGAAACGGTGAGTATGTTTTTCACGTGATATTCCTGGGTTTACACAGCAATAAAGAAAAGACACGGGTAGAATGGTTGAGGTTTTCTTTAAGGGAAATTCTCAGAATGCTTAGCAAATTTTGTTTGGTGCTAGCATTCTTTTTAATTCAAATGCCATTCCAAAAACAGTGTTCATTCCCCGAACATGAAAAATATGGGACAGATATAATTTTGGACTGCAAGCGTATTCCTGCAGTGGCATAAAAAAATGCCAAATCAAATTATGGATTTCGGGATATGCGGAGAAATTTTTGTTCTGGATGTACGGCCTTCCTCACAGAATCATCAATAAAAGTAAGTTTTTGCGCTTTATCACACACGTATACACATAGGCGTCGGAACCGGGGAAGGGGGGGGGGGCTTAGCCCCCTCTTTTTATGCAAATATATACATAATATAGGCATTGAAAATTGGGGTTTACCTTTTTTGTTAGTTTAACCATCCCCCACTTTCAATCGGACCCCCCCCCCCCCCGGCCCACTTCCAATTTGCTTCCGACGCCTATGGTACAATTTTACAACTGACAGGCATTTTTTCAAATGCAATCTTCAAGGGGAAATCGAGGTGGAATCCTTCAATTTAAACTATCTTAAATATCTACATAACAAAATGAATTCTAGTAAAAATTTCTTTTTTGCATCATCTAAAGATGATATTATTTTAAGAATCATGTTGCTATGGAGACCTATGAATGGACCACTGATCTTGGGTTTAGAATAATAAATTTTCTTACCGGGAATCTCTGTAAGAGATATCTGATATGAATACTTAGGTTCGTACGTAGCATCGTTATTTAAAGTCTGTGTGTCTTAGTGTGTGTGTAGGGGGGGCAGCCCAGAGAACAAAAACTTCTACTGACCTTAAAAAAATTAAAAATTGGGAAAATTGGATTTTTTTTTGGAGGGGGGGGGGTGCCAACTTCTTTCACCAAATTTTATTCATACATTAATACATTATATTAACATTATTTCATTGTACTCCAACAAAAAATGACAGAAGGGGGGGGGGGGGTAAACCACCTTTCAGTAAAGATTTTCAAAAGTAAAAATTTATGTTTGAAAAAGGAGAGACCCTCGGACTGTTATGCTACGTTCTTGACATGTACACCCTTTTTCCTTTGTATTTTTTAATCCGAAAAATCCATTCTCTTTATGACATTGTAGAGAAAAGCATGTCCAACAGAGACTGAGCAAAAAAGACCTAAACTGGATGAAGATATTGATCATGAACCCACGTCTGCAACTTGTTCTGTGCAAACGCCTTATTTTGTTGAATCTCAAGTTCAAACTTGTCCAGTTGGCAGTAGTGATCAAGAAGTTCAAACTTCTCCAATTGCTTGTGATCAAGAAGTTCAATGTTGTGTTTTCAAAGAAAATGTCGGTTGTCAAATTGATATATACTACGTCAGACCTTATTCATGAATTGTGCGATGAAATTAATTTGTTAAAACAGAAATTGCAGAATTACGAAACGATCATAAACGATTTCAAAAAGCAAAATCTTTACAGTTTAACATCTGAAGCTGATCAAATAAAAGTAATAGAGGAAATACTGTCAAAAAATGCCAACAATTTGAAGTATGACAATTTTGGCTATGATGTCAAGAACATCTCTTCCTTATCTTTAGATGAAATTTACAATAAACAAACACCAGTTCTTAGAAAAATAATCGATTGTTTGACTCAAAACAACCAGAATTCAGAAATATGTGAAAAACGCAAATTTCGAAAATGCTTAGCGATTGATTTGCTCATTTCCGCAAGGCATTTGCGCTACATTTCTCCTCTTTCGCTTGCTCCAATGCTTTTGCTCTATAATTCCACAGTTAGTAAAACTGCAGTTGAAATTTTTTCGCATACGTTACCATCAGGCGGTTACACTTTTCTGCAAAACTGGTTGTTAGAACTTAAACCAGATGTCTCCAATTGTAGTGACTCAGATTCCGACCTCATTTATGCGTTTGATAATAACCAGCGATTGCAGAAAGTTTGGCTATCGCGAAATGCTAAAAATGTTAGAAGTCATGACAAATATAATAAAATTTGAATTGACAGGTTTTAATAATCAGAAATCTTCAAATCTGCATCCTAATTTTTGGAGAAAATTTTCAACCTTAGATTTTCCAGACGATATTTGTTTTGCAAACAAAGAGGAGGTAAGTTATTCTTTAAGAAAAGCATTCGAAGCAGTCATTGGATTTTCAGAAAAAGATGACAAAATACAAATTAAAATCGCTGAGGAGGAAATGAAATCCAACTTCATTCAATGTAAAAAATGCCAGAAAATTTATAGTAGAAAGAAAATAAAATGTGATGAGTGTAAGATCAATATAAGGCATGGTACTGAAGGGAAAGATCCCATCTGCACGAGAATAGTCCCAGAAAAAAAGGATAAAGCATTAAGATTTAATTTTGTCTCTGAGGAGGTAGATGAAGCAGGTGTCAAAAGATTAGGCTGCCAATACATGGGTGCTTTTCAATCAACTTCTTCTTCTGAGCACCCACTTTTAAAAGAAAAATCAACTTCTGTCAATAAAGATTCTTGTCCTAAAATATGTCTTTTAGAACCTGTTTTCGTTAATCCGGCATCAAAATCCTCTTTGAAAGTTGTACTTGATAAGATTGCTACGGATGCTGGGATTAATTCAGGGTACCGCAAATTTGCTTACGTTGTTTGTGATGGTTCCCCAATGACACTCGTTTGGCAACTTATCCTAGAAGAACCACAAAATTACTCCTGGGCCATACCTATAACGGGTTTGGGACACGAAGAGATGAACATGGTTAAATCATTCACAGAAATGTTTTACGACTTTATTTTGAAATCTTTTTTCGAGACACAGGGTTATGTTACTCCAAAGGCATTGGCCTTTGCTAAAAGATGTTCAGACCATCACATTGCTTTCGATAATTTGATGAAGTTTAGAGAAAGTCTTTGGTTAGAATTAATTCATGTGTTTAAAAATACCAAAACAAACGATATTTCAAGTGATTTTGAGGGATTTTGTCAATGGGTGGAAATGAGTGAAGATGAAACTCTTCGTTTTATTTGTTACACTATGATACCTTGTCTTGAGTCTATTTTCATGTTTAGAGAAGGTGTAAGAGAAAACAAACATGATATCATAAACATCGCCCGCAAAATTTTCAGGCAAATTTGGTATGGTAGACATCACACTAAATATATGATTATTGATAGTTTCAGTTTGTATTCAAGGATTTTAATGCCTGCAGAAATTTTACACTCTGTCAACAAAAACGAATCTTTTTCTACCAGTGGTAGATATGATGCTCACCAAGGTTTAGACTTCATTTTAGAAGAATATAATCGAAACATAAAGAAGCACGTGTCAGGGGTTGCAAACAGTGTCAAGTGGGAAACAGTGATTAAAAATTACGAATGTCTTGAAACAATGTCAGAAAATGTCAACAAATTGATAGGTATATCGGAGCACAAAAAACAGCCGAGACAAATTAAAAAATTTACAGAAGAAAGAGATTTTTTTCGCACTGAAATTCGTAAATCTAATTACCTACAACCTCAGTCCAAAAGAGGAATCACAAGCTTTAATCAGTCTAAAACAAAAATTTCTCAGAATGTTGCAAATTTTAGCGCCTCTGCGCTTAGTATTATGCAGACGATTTTTAGAGATTTTATAAAAAATTGTAAATACCCAAGTTCCCTGAAATTTAACAAAATACCAGTTTCGAAAGAAGAAGAAATTGAACTAAATAAAGATGAAAATCAAACAAAATCTCAACTTTTGGCCATGATCGATGAAAATATTTCAAATTTACCAGAGGAATTAATTCAAAATTTTGAAGATGAGAAAAAAAAGTTAAAAATTAAAATTGCTAAAAAATCTGTTATTTTGGATTTTCTAAACAATGTAAGAAGGGAATTAAATGAAAATTCTGGTTGTTCTGAAAATGACACCGTTTGTGGACACAAACAAAAACTACATGTACATATCGCATGTTTTTTCTTATACAGTGTATGTACAATGTACTTTATGCATTTCTGTTATTCACATAACTATTTTATATGTATGTAAATATTTAAATGTGTGATTACCTGAATTCTTTATGATGTCCTATGATTAAGACATCAATAAACTATTGTGCAGTTTCTCCTGATCAAATTTTGTTTTGAAAAAGTATGTGTATATTCACAAAATACCTTGGAAACTAATGGATTTTTGAAGCAACAATTATGAATCTAATACAATATGTTTTTTTAATGTGAGCATAGAATAACGTCTTCGGTACCTAATCTTTCCATTTTCACCTCTTGAAGTAAGAAAGAAGTCGTAGAAATTTTCCGGCGAACTATTAAATATTGTGTGTAAAACTGACAAAAACCACGTGTGTTTGTTGAATCGTAAACACGTAGTAGCCCGTCATGCTTTGCGGCTCATTCACTTGATTGGAGAATCTGTTTGACGCATACATTGTCACGTGTTAAATTATGCTCTCCATAAAAGGTAGTGTGCCTGACCTGTTAAACTTACCAGGAAAGAGAACAATGAATGCTATTTATGGAACCTGTTTTGTGTTTCAGAGTGTTTCCTTCAGTCGACTACAGAGTGCGTTAGACGTTGACTGGTCCTCACAATCCGCTCAGCGTAAACTCAAAAGAACTCCCAACACGTACTTCATCATGCAAGGTCAGGGTCTGAGATAAATGACACTTGTTTTATTTTGTCCTTGATTTAGTCATTGAGTTCTTTATTGTAATTTCTTTGGGAAAAAATTGCTATTTAGGCTATCTAAATTTAATTCCCTGGTTCTCAGGCCAATTTTCTCCAAAACAGATGCGGGAGGGCGGCATTTTATTTTTCATTTCATTGGCAATCAAGTAGATGAGGGAGGTATTTTTTAAAATTTTAATTTCTGAATTTTCTTTAACATAAAGATAAATTTTTTAATAACAGATAAACTTTCCATTTCTGGTCAAAATTTCTGCTTTATCCATTGCTTAAGAGCGTGTAAACATCGTAGGTAATGTCCTCGAATGTATTTTCAAGTGAAATAGCCAAAATCTTATTGTAAATGACTACCAGAAATGATATTTGAATACTAAACTACGAAACAAATGAGGTCGGAAATTTTTTTCCCGGATTGGTCTCCGCAATACCAACTTTTTATTTTATCAAAAATACAATAAAATCAGTGGCGGATCCAGAAGTTCATGTGGGGTGGTTTTGAGGCCCAAAGGGGCGAAAGGGGAGGGCATGGGAGGGGGTATCCCTTTTGTTTTGAATGGTTCTAAATGGTGCATTTTCCAGCATTCTTTTATACTTTTTGTAGCTTTTTTAAAGACCAATCATCACAAATTTTTAAGAATCCAGAGAAATAAAATGTTTCAATTTGATTTAACTTTAACACAAGACTTTAGACCTTGTTTAAAAAAATGAAGTGGGGGGCTCCCCCCTGAAAAAATTGTTTTAAATGGTTCTAAATGGTGCATTTTCCAGCATTCTTTTGTACTTTTTGTAGCTTTTTTTAAAGACCAATCATCACAAATTTTTAAGAATCCAGAAAAATAAAATGTTTCAATTTGATTTAACTTTAACACAAGACTTTAGACCTTGTTTTAAAAAAAATGGAGTGGGGGGCTCCCCCCCCCCATAAAAAAATGTTTTAAATAGTTCTAAAATGGTGCATTTTCCAGCATTTCTTGTACTTTTTGAAGCTTTTTTAAGGACCAATCATCACAAATATTTAAGAATTTAGATAAATAAGATGTTTCAAACTACATGTAATTTAACTTTAACACAAGACTTTAGACTGCTTTAAAAATTGTTACATCTGACAATTTTAGGAATACAAGCAGTTGACTTCAAGTTGTCTTTTAAATGCATTTTCAATTAATTTAGTCAAGCTGACTTCTAAGATACAACTGATGTGCAATTTTAAACACTTTCAAAAAATCAAACATTGGATTCTTTTCAGAATTCCTAATTAGTGCCTTTCAATTTACTTGAGTATACTGTCAATATGATGTAAAAAAAATGTATTAATTTAATTTTTAAAACGGTAAATAAAAAACCCTATATAATAGTTTATTCAAATAGTTAATAAAAAAAAACATGCATTTTATCAGCAAAGGAATATTACTGAGCAGCACCGTAACTATGCAGTTTTCTGTTGTTGATACTTGACTACATTGTACTGCACGATGATCTTGTGACTTCATTACCCCTCTCTCTGTTGATTACCTGTGTATTGTGTGCGTTCAAGTGGAAAGTGATTTCCTGTTACGTCCTGAAGTATATTTCACAGTTGTACAGAACAATGGATTCGTGTATATTAGAGTCTTATCAATGCAACAAAATGATAAAATGACACTTGTAAAAAAAAAAAAATTCAATGAGCGGGGGGGTTTTCCCGAACCCCCCCAAACCCCCCTGAATCCGCCCTTGAAAATCGGCAATGCGGCTACCTCAAGACGGATGCGCGCGGGCCTGAGAACCAAGATTTCAATTTTATATGGCCTTACAAATTGAGTTGAACAAATGACTAAAGATCAGAAATATTTTAATCACATGAAATATTAGATATATATATATATATATTTATAAAAACCCTTCATGTTATGCTTAATTCAGGTGTCAAATCTTAAAAATATACTTCACATGTGAAAATTTAGTTGAAATCAGAATTTAATTTTAGCAATTTTTATCTGAATTGAACGATTCATATTTTAATTGTTATACTCCTGCTTAAATCATGTCTGAGATAAATCTGTTTCGGTTTTGCAGTGTTACACGACTTTATGAATAACAACAACAGACGCCCTGATGTCAAACAGAAAGAGAACGATATTAAGCTATTAATAGAACAGAAAACAGCGACCCTGGAGAAACTGAAACTCAGCCCCAGTCTACTGTCAGATGACTTCGCTAGGTACCGTTAATCACTTTTTATTCACAGGAACTTTATTTTGCATAATTATGCAAGACAGTGGGCTAGATTTTGAAAAAAATTAAAACAACTATATTCATAATACCATCATCTATACATAATTAACTAGTATAATTGCTTTTAGAATACACCAGTATGTCTCCAAGTTCTTTTCATTTTGAAACCCTAACCCTGTACATATATAACTGTTTACAGTTTCTGCTTTGCTGAGTTGAGTCCAGTGTGTGCCATTGTGGGTGGAGTCATGGGACAAGAAATCATTAAGGTAAATGTCTCCTGTATAGAGATATAGATTGTTTATTAAATTAAGAAAAAAATGATTTTCTTCTTTGCTTTAGATAGTTGACTAAAACAAATACAAAATCACACAGTAGCGATATACATACTCTATCCAGAGTGATCTTTCCCTTCATGCTCCCAAATATACCTCTGTCAATGCTTGGTATGCAAGATTATGACAAGCCCTTTTGCTATTTATTTGGAAAATAAGATTTATCTTAAAATTGTAGAGATATCTCTTAAAAAATGGAGATATCTCCAAACTTAAGGAGATATCTCTCATTTTTAAGAGATATCTCTGAGAAAGAGGTATCTCTTAAACTTTAAGAGATATCTCTTATACTTTGAGAGATCTCCTTTGATAACAGAGATATCTCTTCCACTTGAACAAATATCTCTTTTACCTAGGGAGATATCTCTGTTACTTTTTGAAATAACTTTCCAAGTTAAAGAGATATTTCTCTAAGTTTATCTTAAGAGATATCTCTCAAGCAATAGTCCATCTAAAATGACTTCTACCTTTACCGGAAATAAACTTTTTATGCACAAAGTACATTAAAGTATTTTAAATTTCAACATATTAATATTCTACATTATAACTTTATTAAACATAGCAAGTCATTCAATTTTGTCAAGATTTCAAATTAGTAATACTGTAACACTTAATTTTCGCGACACCTTATTTTCGCGAGATAGTCATTGAATCTTGATAAGCGAGACAAAATTTTCACGAATTGTGGTTATTGCTCTATATAATCTTTAGGAATACTATTATACGCGAGAATTTAATTTTCGCGAGTACTCTGTCTTACGCGAAAATAAAGTTCTCGTGAATAAAAAGTGATTTACAGTAGTTGATTATTTTATAAACTGAAAAAGTTCGATCCATCGATTTGAACTTTTATTCCTTCTTTGGTTTTCTTGAATATTAAACTTTAAACATTTTTATCAATGAAGTTGCCTTTATTATTTGTGGTTTCAAACAAGGGATTTATAGCATTTTTGTCAATATATTATTTAGGGGTGGATATCGCCAGAAAAATTATATTGCGATATATTGCAATATTTGATGGCATATTGCGATGAATATTGCAATATATTGCATTGCTGTCTATTTCATGTAAAGTTTGATGTGAACCGAAAATTAGTGTAATTATAAACTTAAAATACCATATCTGATCATTTCACGTCAGATAATGTTTGCTGTTCACTGTTTATTTAGTTCCCTGTCTAAATGTCTTAGTTATTAGTGTCAGAGATCGACATATTTTTCGAGTAAAATTAAGACAGTCGACAGGTTCTCCCTTTCTTAAAAATAACTTCGTAAAAATTGAGAAACTGTTGTATTATGTCATATCTCAACTTTTCTTTTATTTTTTTAAACGCGGTATGCGTCCTCAGACGTAGGAATCAGAATATTTAAGCATCACAAACCTAAACTGGATAAACATCATTTATAAAAATTTTTTCGTCCGCCATTTTGATAAAGAAAAGTACGAAACCAGAGTAAGTTTTCCGGAAAAAAATTAACTGTTGTTGAATTGAATCTACAACATAATCCTTGTAATACATATAATTATTAATCCTTTTAATTCCATTCTTACCTTTAACACACTGTTGCAATGTCTATTTACTAACAAAAACAAACTTTACAACTGCAAATACACCATATTTAGCGTTTGTGTAATACTTCCGGTTTGCATATCGTCAATACCGGTATTGAAAAAATATATTGCGATATATTATCGTTGGGTTTAATATTGCAATATACCGATATATCGATAATATTGCACACCCCTAATATTATTAGATCACCTGAGTAAACTCAGGTGACCTATTGCTATCCGTTTTCGTCCGTCGTTGTGTGTCGTGTGTTAACATTTGAACATTTTCATCTTCTTCTCTGAAACCACTGAACCAATTTCAACCAAATTTGGCATACAGCATCTATGGGTGAAGGGGAACAAAAATTGTTAATTTCATGGTCCCTACCCCCCTGGGGCCTTGGGGGTGGGGCCAAAACCACTAAAATTAGTGCAATCTTTAAAAATCTTCTTCTTTACTCCTGGACATCAAGCAGTCAAACTGTTGGTATGATTGTAATCAGCATTGAGTCCTCTACCAAATTTTTGAAATTCATGGCCCCAGGGTCAGGGGTTCTGGTGTAAGGGCGGGGCTCTCTTGATTATATAGTGAAAATGCATAAATTTTTTGAAAATCTTGTTTTCTGCTCCTGGGTATCAAACAAACAAATGGAGTACATAGTTATGATGAGCAAGGATGCCTCTTTCAGATTAATGAATTTTATGGCCCCAGGGTCAGGGGTTCTGGTGTAAGGGTGGGGCTCTATTGATTATTTTGTGAAAATGCATTAATTCTTTGAAAATCTTCTTCTCTGTTCCTGTGTATTAAATAAACTGACTAAGTACATTTGTATGATGAGCAAGAGTGCCTCTTTCAAAATTGTTAATTTTAAGGCCCCAGGGTCAAGTTTAGTTCTGGTGTTGGAGGATGCTCTATTGATTACATAGTGAAAATGCTTTAATTCTTTGAAAATCTTCTTCTCTGCTCCTGGGTATTAAAAAAACTAACTAAGTACATTGGTATGATGAGCAAGAGTGCCTCTTTCAGATTATTGAATTTTATGGCCCCCAGTCAGAGGTTCTGGTGTAAGGGCATTGCTCTATTGATTATGTAGTGAAAATACATTAATTCTTTGAAAATCTTCTTCTCTGCTCCTGGGTATCAAAAAAACTAACTAAGTACATTGTTATGATGACCAAGAGTGCCTCTTTCAAAATTTTGAATTTTATGGCCCCAGCATCAGGGGTTCTGGTGTTAATGCTGGGCTCTATTGGTTATATTGTGAAAATGCATTTATTATTTAAAAATCTTCTCTTCTTCTGGGTATTAAATAAACAAAGTACATAGTTATGATGAGCAAGAATGGCACCTCAACCAAATTTGTGGTTTATTATGTCCCCTGTATCATTTGCTTTAGGGGGGGGGGGGGACTCTTTTGATTATATAGTGAAAATACGTTAATTCTTTGAAAATCTTTTCCTTTGCTCCAGGGTATTAAATTATGCCAATTATCTAAGTTCATATATATATATTTATGATGAAAAGAGGTGCATCTAGCAGTATACGATGAATTTTATGCCCCTGATTTAGGGGTAGGGGTGGGGGGGTTTACTTAGTCTGAAAATAAATGAAATCTTCGTTTTGGTATTAATCAACCATTTATGATGAAATAAAATTTATGATAAAGTTTCCAAAATTTTGAAATAAATGGCCCCAGGGTAAGTGGTTCCTTTGGAGTGAGGTGCATAACTGGTTATAAAGTGGAAGTGCATTTTCTCTTTATTATTCTGATCTACTTCTGGGTATTAAGTAACTAGAGTAAGCATGCTAAGTGTATAATTATAATAAGCAATACTGCCTCTTTCAAATTTTGAATTTCATGGCATGTGGTTTAAAACACGAAATAAGTTCAATTGTCAAAAGTTGTTACATGATCCTCAGGTGACCTATAAGGCCCGTGGGCCTCTTGTTCATACTATTCTGGGTATTGCATGCTCTGCTCAGTCTTTTTTCTTATAACAGGTTAAAGAGATATCTAAGAGATAACTCTCTTACAAAAAGAGATATCCCCTGTTTAAAGAGACATCTCTCTAAGGAATAAAGATATCTCTATTAGTCAAAGGGATATCTCTATTGGCTAAAGATATATCTCTCTATGCTTGTGAGATATCTCTCTTATTGAAAGAAATTTTGTGCTTCAGAGATAAATATTCCCTGTATGATTATGAAAAGTTAAAAAGTTATCAAAACTTAAAAACATTCCTTAAATGAATAGATGTTTATAGCGAAGTGATTTTCATTCCCCATAAAATTTAAGTAATTTGTGAAACTAAGTGATTAAACCTGGTGTGGATATCAGAAATGTAATTGTAGGGTATGTAAATACCAGTCCATGCTTCCTTTGTCAGAGAAGCCTTCCTAAATGTTCTTTTGTTGTCATTTGAACTGTTTGTGTGTATACACTTTTGTTTTATTTATTTATTTTTTCTCTTCTGCTATTATTATTGTGTTCTGTGAATGTCCATATGTGTGCAGAGCATATGAATAATTGCATGCTTTCTATGTTGCTTTCCTTGTTGTTCAACTTTCATTTCTGTCAGTGTTTGTAAATATTATGTACTGTACTGCGCTTTAATTATTTATTTCTCTCAATTATTTTTTTAATCAGCATGATCAGTGCTTATTAGGACTGTGATAATCATCCGTGTGCAAAACAATTTATGCTGCTTCTTTTTTTTTTAGTTTATTCTTTGTTATAGGTGCTAGTATCTGTGATTTTTTTTCTTTATCCTTGAGGTCTCATTTTAAATGGTTTCATTTAAATTATATTTTGTTTTAGGCTTAAAAAAAAAAAAAAGTTTGTTTCCTGTAACATTCCCAAAAAATCAAGGGTCGGTAGGTCGGAAATTCTTTTTTTTTTTTTTTTTTTTTTTTTTGCTTATGAATGGTCAAACATCCCCGGACCGAAAATACCAGGTGTTATATTTACAATGGACACCCAATATGGCATCCAAAATGGCTGCCAAGCGGCAGAAAACAAACTTTAGAAAGTTGTAGGGGGAAACTGTTGTTACAATAATGATTACTCGTTATATTTAAGGTAAATGTACACTGAGTTGACATATTTTATGTCTCAAATTAAGCTACAAGCTATTTTTTTAAATTTAGTAAATGGAATCAGCTGATTGATCAAACGAAGTTTTGCCATTTGTCAGAAAAAAAAAATCCACCCGGGGATAATTTGAATGGGTCGGTCGGGTTACAGACAAACATATTTTTTTTTTAGGCCTTACTAACAATGTATATTTTTACTAATTTTTATCTCTGTGTAAATATGTTAAAGTTGGCTAAAGAGCTCACCCCAGCTCTTGAAATTAATTATTAAAGTATGCTTATAACGAAGCAAAATTGCCTATCCCGGGCACTTTATAACCCAAACTAATTAAAATTAGATCCTTAACACTCCTGTATTTTGTTATATAACATTTTTGAATAAGTTTTCCTATTATATCACAAATGTAATAAGTTTCGCTATAAAACCTGAAAAATGCTGAGTCACACAGGTAACAGTTATGTCACGCCGAAAACAGTTATGTCACCCCCGATGGAAACAGTTATGTCATCATTTCGATCACGTTCACGTGTTTTTACGTTACGCATTTTAGCTCGGGTTCGAGATGTTATGACGTCGGTTGCTAAGCAAATGTAAACAACGGAGCGTTATTCTTAACGTCAAGAAAGCATTTCTGGATTTTTTGTGAAAATTGCAACGATCTTAAATGATTTAATTTTTTTTTTTAATTTTAAAAATGTCATATAACATATACCACATGGCTTCTGGGGCGACTATACCAGAAGATTTGCCCCTCGGTGACAGGAAAGCCCTGGAGAGTTATGTCACCCTCTGCCTTCGGCATTCGGCATTGGGTGACATAACATTCCAGGGCTTTCCTGTCACCTCGGGGCAAATATTCTGGTATGTCACCCTCGAAGCCATGTGATATATGTATAATATAACATTTTTGAATAAGTTTTCCTATTATATCACAAATGTTATAAGTTTTGCTATAAACCCTGAAAAATGTCAAGTCACACAGGAAACAGCTATGTCCGGCCGGAAACAGTTATGTCAACCCTCAACGGAAACAGTTATGTCACTATTTCGATCACGTTCACGTGTTTTTACGTTACGCATTTTAGCTGGGGTTTGAGATGTTATGACATCGGTTGCTAAGCAAATGTAAACAACGGAGCGTTATTATTAACGTCAAGAAGGCATTTTTGGATTATATGTGTACATTTTAACAATTTTGAATGATTTTAAATTTTCCTTTAATTTTAAAAATGTCATATAACATATACCACATGGCTTCTCGGGTGACTATACCAGAATATTTGCCCCTCAATGACAGGAAAGCCCTGGAGTGTTATTTCACCCTCTGCCTTTGGCATCGGGTGACATAACACTTCAGGGCTTTCCTGTCACCTCGGGGCAAATATTCTGGTATGTCACCCTCGAAGCCATGTGATATATGTATAATGTCACTGTAAGGGTTAGCGACATAACAAAATACAGGAACGTAAATGATCTATTTTAATTAGATTGTTTATAACTGTGTTTTACTGATGTGTTTAAAAATTCCTTTAAGAGATTAAAAGAATAATAATTAATGCAACTTTCCATAGTGCAGTATATTTGGATATCAGTAATATTTCATATATCTTTAATTTAATTAGAATACAATGCAGTGATGCTTTTCACTGCAGATATTTGATTTTCTCCACTTTACTCAATTGAGCAACAAACAGATTGTCATGTATATCTGTACACAGTCCCCAGGGATCACTCAGTCCAGAGTGTATGTAACGGAGGAACTGTCCATCCTGGTCTATGATGTGGACACAGTTATTGTTGGGATCAGCTGTAAGGATGTGACTCTGACTGTCTGTGGTGGTTCCTCGTGGATAGAATGATCGGTTCTTTTGAGCAGGGGCATGTCCAGTGTACCTGAATCTCAGTTTCCCGGCCTGATTGACCACCACTACTGCTTTAGCTCCACAGTCAGTAACACAGATATCCAGGTTCCTGTTCTCTGTTATGTAGTATGTGTTAAACCGACTAGGTAAATAGAGAGATTTACCTTCATCATCAAACTGAATGGTTTGTTTCTCTGAGGAGCCAGAGTAACGGACAACTTTTGTTTGTTTTTTACAACTGAACATGATAACCAGGAGATCATCAGAGGAGGTACTACAGACACCGCGAGGTTTCCAATTCTGTAGTCTGATCACCTCCTCTATCTTCTCATTCTTCACAATGTTCACAGTTCTAACATCGTAATCAGTATAAACTAGATCACCGCTTTTTGTCACTGCTATGTCAGATGGTATGTTCCGTGACTTTGGTGTGATGGACTTGAGTAGTGATCCCTGATTGATGCTGTAGAGTTTCATGGTGTTGTCATCTCCTCTTGTCCAGATTTCTTCATCACTCAGACAGGCCACTTTGTAAAGTCGTCCATACCCAGTGTGTAGGGTGGTTACAGTCTGTGGTTCATCAAGCAGCTGATTTACTGGAGGAGAGGATCCAGCTTCTGGTGATTTCTGTGGTGACTTCATGCTGTAGCTATGTTTATCTGAAGTAAAAGAACTTGATGATAAGGATCCAAATAATTTTTTTAATTCTTCTCCTTGAATTTGTGCTGGAATGAATTTGGGAAAAGATAGCAGAATTTTGGGTGGAAGATTTCTGTATCTTTGTACATTGAATGTTATAGTAAAGAGTTTTGACAAGTCGTTAGTGTCTAAAGTGACGTCAGTTGAATTGATTTCATCCTTGATGTCAGACATTGTCTTGTTTAATTCATCCAGATGTTTCTGTAGAGTTTGTAACTGTGTGTTTTTCATCTCATCAACTTCAGATTTAAGTTTCTTGACAAGTTTGTCAATTTCTCTGTGCCAGTCCTCTCCATGTTTTGTTATGGCTGTTGAGAGATCTCTATATTCCTTTTCTAACCGACTCATTCTGTTTTGTACATCAGAGGCAATGTCCTGGTAGGTTAGATAAATTGTGTCATTTAATTCATTTCTTTCTTTTATAAAAATGTCCTTCTGTTCATCAAAAACTCGCAAGATTCTAGACAATTCATGACCTAAATGTTGATTAGATTCAATGCAACTGATGCAGACAGGAATGTCACATTGTTTACAGTACATTTTACATCGTTCTTTGCTATGAGTTGAACATTCAGGGTAGAGGGGGGTAGATTTCCTGTCTTGAAATTTGACTACCTTGTGATCTTTAGATTCACCTGTTGAGATGTGTTCTCCCACGCAAGCCTTACACAGGTTGACAAGACATGTATCACAGTGCATCTGTACCACAGCGGTCTCACACAGGTCACATCGCATCAATTCCTGGGCTCTGGTACGGGGGTCCATCATTAGATTTTGTGACTGTAGCAATTAAAGTTAACATTAATATCAGATTATGCATTTAGTGAATGCTTTTGAGGGCAACAAAACTTCTCTCAGACTAAAGAACTGCATTTTATACATGAGGCATGTTATGGTTTTGTCATATTTTTCAGACAAGTTTTCCAGACACATGAGTATGCTAGTACATCAGGGCTAGATTTTTATGCGCCTGGATCAATAGATCCAAGTCGAATATTGTTTTTTTTCATGTCTGTTTGTCTGTTGTCAACTTTAACCTTTGCCATAACTTTTAAACCATAAGAGACAGAGACTTCGTATTTGGTATGCATACTTGACTAATAAAGTTCTTTCAAATGACACCAAGGTCAATGACCTTCCTTTTGACTTTGACTATGACCCTTAAGTTAAAGGTCATACGAAACAGTGTCCTGAGTATTTTCAGTCTGATTAAAATCAAACCTTCACTAGCTCCTTTTTATAAAAATAAAAAGGAGCTAGTGAAGGTTTGATTTTAATCAGACTGGAGTATTTTGAATTGTATATGGAAATGAGTTCCTCTGAGCATCATTAATAAATCTGATATTACATGTTGAATTTTTTACGCAAGTTGGAGGCAGCAGAGTCGATCAAAGTTACTTGAATGCGAAGATGAACTTAAACTAGCGCGGCTTATCTCCCTTTGCTTATGACGTCAGTAAGACCCAGTCGCTACAGTCACTACTAATATTTATATAGCCGATCATGTCTTATAAATGCAGCGTATTTTTTTAAAGAAATATCATTGTCTTGACTTAATCTTTGCATAAATATATAAATTTCAAACAAGATGTGTTTGTCTTTGAAATTCTGTTGCATGTTTACAAGATTTTAGCATGTTTTATCCGTCTAATTTATAGTCATCCTTCGACACTTAAATCTATTTAAAGAGAGAGAGAGAGAGAGAGAGAGAGAGAGAGAGAGAGAGAGAGAGAGAGAAAAACGGTGTCCAAAGAGAACTTCTGTACTTGAGTAATATATAAATATAGACGCTGTCAATTAGCACATACAGTTGAAAAAATTTCCTACACAAAAATATGATTTTTTTCCGATTAAAAATTTTTAAACCATGATCAGATTATGAGCGCTATCGATTATAGTATACTCGATCGGTAGCACGCGCATATGTAAGCATGATAAGTAAAGCTGGATCCGATTGACCGCGGTGTGTAAATATTAAAGTGAAACAAAACCTGCAAATAAATTATTGAAAATGAAATGATTCTATCGCTTCCTTGTTTCCCCTTTCTCAATTATTCCTTATTCTGTTTTTGGCTTTTCCTATCTCATTGACCCTTTCTCACCCCGTATTTTTCTTGTACCAAAGTTGGTACATTTACGTATAACACTGTGCCCTTTTTATCGTACTAATTTTAAAAAGTCAGACATTAAACGCAGTTCTATCTATGTAATCCCAAGTTTCTTTATGTATATATTAACAGATCAAATTTTCTAAATTTGTATCAGTTTATTTTAACAAAGCTTATATATAGTCTGCTTTTGAAAAAAGAATGTTTAACTGTAAAAATATGAATTTTCAAAATTGTTTGGGTTCAATCTAGCAAACAATGGGCATTTAGGCATGGATTTCTCATTAATCATCTTATGTACGAACTGTATGAGTATTTTCAAACTGCAGTTGCTCAGCCAAACTGTTATAGAAATATCAGCACCGTAACATTGTACAGGGCATGTGTATACGTGTGCAAACTCGTAATACACATGTTTTGAGTCATTAAAATCACGTTTCTTGTGACAGAAAAATTACGATGATGTCGTCAAAAATACTCTATTTCTATGTATCGTTTTCATTAGTTCTCGTGTTTCAGATTTTAGAAGGGTGCAATCAAATACGCTGATTTTTCATTGACCCACGTTTATCATGAACTTCAATATCCCCGTGTTTATTTGGGAAAAGGGGGGGGGGTAACATCATGTATTAGAACGTATTAAATAAAAACATGAAGGGATTCTTTTCTAAGGTATTAATTTAAATAGGTATAAATCATGGTTGGAGGTGAAAAAAATCTTGATTTCATAGGGGTTTTCATCGGTTTCATCCTACTATGTAAAGCTCTCGATTTCAGTTTCTGTGCCTAATTAACGATAATCTCAAATAGAGTAAAATGTTCTTTAGCATCGGATAGCTCATCTAAAAACATAATCACATTTATATCCACAAAAAGACTAATATTAACTCAATTAAAATACAGAAAAATTACACTACATGTAATGTGTTGTTTTCATCAATGGGTCTTTGTGACGTAATTTTTACACAAAATAAAGAACGATAAGCGGGTAACAAATTTATCAAGTGGACAAGTTTAGGCCTTCATTTTTCTGTTAAATAAAAGCAAATTGTTTTTACCAAACGTAATTTGACATTCTTTCATGCCAGTCTTTATGTTTAAAAAGTAAAATCCTAGTGTTATGAACTGTTTCGTATGACCTTTAAAAATAGCTTTTTCGAACTTTTGCCATATTTTTTTAAACCATAAGAGATATAGACGTCATATTTACTCTGCATACTCCACTAATTAAGCCCTTTCAAATGAAACTAAGGTATCAGTGACCTAGACTGTGACCTTTATCCTAAAAATAGCTTTTTTAAAAAATAAAATTTGCCACCGGGCACATAGTGTTTCACAAATACATCTTGTTTTCTCTTGTCACTTGGCTATTACCTTAAATTTTTACTTGTCAACTTACACTATCCCACTTGAAAAGACAACATAATAGTTATAGTAGTATTTTCATGATTTTGTGTATATTGTGATATTTAATAATGTGACGTAACAAAACAAGAAATAACAGATCTTGGGCACAAAACACTGTCAATTGAACAAATCCGAGCATGAATGAAATGAATTCTGTATGCATAAAATACACTGACCAAAAGGATATTTGATCTTTTTTTTGTACTCAATGAGATGACAATTCACTATCCCAAGTCCAACAGACCATAAATTAATTGAGCACAGTACATATTTATAAACAAGTCAATTGATAAAAACAAGATTAATTCACATATCAAATTTTATTTTAAAGAAATTTTGTTCCCAGTGATTAAAGTTTGTAGTACTGAAGAATTTGAAAAACATTTTTTAAAATCACAAAATACTTCAGTTACACCTATCTTTATTACCTGTCTTTAGTAATGGCGGTCGTCCTATCGATCTCTAAGTAAACTCTGATCATGTGACCCACTTACCTGTGTTTTCTACCTGTCAGGTGTTTATACTTCCTGGTCTATAGTGAGATTTAAACACCTTCTGAACACTAGTAAAGTCTCTGGATATCATATAGAATTTTTTGAGTTGGTATTAACACTTTATATGCCATGTCTCACTAACTACCCTATATTTTTTTTCTAAATTAATGAAAGTGAAAGTTCAGAAACTTCGGAGTAATGTTGTTTGTTTAAGTGTGAAGAAATATAAAAACATAATTGTGAGTCATTTGATTTACTACTGTATTTCTAAGGAAACTAGGTATGTGAGGAAATTCAAACTTTCATATTTTTTACACTCCCTCATCTTCGCTAGCCAAGGATTTCTGACACGCTACTCTTCTTATAGGACCTATTATGAGGAGAGTAGCGTATAAGAAACCCTTGGCTAGCGAAGATGACACTCCCTCATCTTCCAATATTGCTAGTCTAAAGGCATGTGGTTCAAATTAGAAAAAAAAAACAGAATTAATTATTAATCACATTAAAATGGAAACAAAACATCCTCAGGTAGTGTAGATTCACAAAATCTTTTTCAAATCATGGTCCCCAGTGGATGGGGGTGGTGGACTTGACTGGTCCCATATCATCTCCCATGAGGCCATCCTTAAAAAAATGTTTGATTGGAATTGCCGCCTGGGGGTTTTCAGACCCAGGAGGGAGGGAGGGAGGGAGGGAGGGATTATATTTTTTTTTACAAATTGAAGCTAAATGACAAAGAAATAAAATCTCAATGAACAGTGGAAATTTTCATTTATTATCCTCTTTTATTTTATTAATATTATTTGGTCCGATTTTGGAAAAAAAGATATACACAGAACGGTACTCAAATTTAATATTAATCTCATTTAGATGTTAAGATCTGTTCATTTATAAATAGTTAAATTTCAGCATCAAACTTCTAGTTTATTTAAAGAATCTTTATTAACAATACCTTTATCAGTCTATTTCGTGATATTTCTCTTTGAAATTTACCCCTTTGTTAAGACAAAGCTTGCAAACAGTTTGAACCACACAATCTTAGGAATCGTTGGATGTTTTGTGGAAAACCGGGAAGGGGTGCTTGGCACGTTCTCGAGTTTTCACCATGAGTCAGTTTTAACATTACGTTTCAAAGAATTGTCATACTGACAGACATTTTTTCCTTTAGTATTTGGGATAAAACATTTCTGATCCATGTATTTTTTTTAACTGGGATCTGAAATATCATTTTTTTTTAATTTCAATATCACGGACTTAGCCTATCAAGTTCAATGTTCAATCTATTACAATATCATTCCATTGAATTTTTTATTCACCTTTTATTTTATAGAGATGCATAAATGTTCTGCTCTTCAACACAACGCTTGAATGTTTCCAACATGGTCTGACATTTTGGCGGCTTTTGTTTTGCCAAATCGCCACCTATAATCGCTATATCATAAATACTATGAAGAAAGCGTTTTATTGACTCGAGTTGTTAAATTAATGTGAGCTCAAATCCGACTTTAAAAAGCTATTTCGACGAACGAACTAACTTGTACTAAACAATGTAAGACGATAAAACGATAAAAAAAATATTGTTAATACTTTGCCAATAAAATTTTTTGAGCGGGGGGGGGGGTATTTTCATGAGGCGGGCGGCAATTCCAAACAAACTATAATTTTATTTTGGCCTGAGTGTAAGGATGGAACAACAATATGACAGACATTATAACCTTTTGAGGGTCTGTCAGGGTCACAATATTGACTTCGTTTGATAAAGAGCAAATAATGTTTTTTTTTTTATTTGAAAACATAGGGTCAGTATGACTAAGTTAAGCAGAGTGGCCCATGAACCTCTTGTAAACAGAGTTATCTTTCTTATCACTTGAAATTTCCTAAATGCACGTTCAGTAGTAACAACAGAGCCACGTAACTAGTTATCATGTGTAAACATCTCAGTCTGTATTATTACTTACAGTGTAATATTTAAATAAGAAAATGACTTTTCTTATCTAATAAGACTTTAACAAGTATAAAATAGAAGGAAAATGGCACTTAATTGAAGATTAAATGTACTTTTTTAAGTGCGTGAAAAATGAGTGTTTGCGGGGAAACGGTATATGCGTGATTTTGCTTTAGAAATAGGAAATGTTATATGCGTTAAACTGCGTGACTGTGGGGAAGTGGGTTAACACGTCTGTGTTGTTTACATGTATTTGTTCTCTATAATTACAGGCAGTGTCTCTGAAGGACTAGCCTCACTGAACTGTTATGCAACATATACTGAATGTTCACGTCATAGAAATATGACGTTATCTTTCGCCGAAAGCGTTTTATAAATGCGGTACACGTTTCACTAAAGTTTACCGTAAATAGTATTATAACTTACGGTGTAATATTTAAATAAGAAAATGACTTATCTTATAAGACTTTAACAAGTAAAAAATAGAAAGAAAATGGCTTTTAATTGAAGACTAAATTTACTTTTTAAACGTGCGTGAAAAATGCGAGTTTACGCGGAAACAGTATATGCGTGATTTTGTGTTAGAAATAGGAGTTGGTATATGCGTTAAAATGTGTGACTGCGGGGTAGTGGGTTAACACAACTGTGTTGTCTATACATGTATTTGTTTTCTATAATTACAGGCAGTGTCTCTGAAGGACCAGCCTCACGATAATTTCTTCTTCTACAACGGAATAGAAGGGAGTGGCTTAGTGGACAAAATCTCGTCATCTTGACATCTGAACCTGAGCTTATCCTGACCCTCCAGACTTTAAGTAGGACACTATGACGGAATGGAATGCAGTCTGTCTCCATTGTAACTCATCTCATTTTGTCAGCTGATATTGTCAATAAATATATAAAACATACAATCATATTATTTAGTACATGACTATATTTTATGAAAGCAAACTAGAGGCCCATCGGCATTAATGCTCACCCGTCGCCAGGATTTAATTATAAACATGCATAGTACAATCAATGTAAACACTAGGCCTTTGAGGTCAGAGTGCACCACCCCGTGATCAAACGACTTATATATGGAATTAGTACCGACACCGTATCACATGTAATATGCATTGCGCATTACATTCTTGCGCGAAAGCTTTAAGGATAATCCAAAGGCTTTTTTAAAGATTTTTGTCAATTTTGAGATTTTTGGTAAAGTAAACAATGCTAATCACTGCTTTATAATGCATGAAAAATCCTTGCTAATTATTAAATGGTTCTCTAATTGTTTAACAATAATCAAACATAAACACTAATACATGTGCCGTTATTGAAGCTTCTGATTTGGTCTGTAACTGCCTGCTTCTAAATCATTGTGACCACTTGGGGAATTCTTCACTAGCCACACAGAGGCTATCAGTACTAGTAATTAAACTACAGGGACTCTAGATTTAGGGAAGGAGATCTAACAGGTCACTAATGACCATGAAATAGGAGGTGGAGCTTACCTTTTGCCATTTTGCCGGGAAATCTTTCTGTTTCAGAATTGAACCTATTTTACTTCATTGAAAGCACCTAAATAAAAAATAGAACCTCCCATTCTTGTAAATATGCATAGGAGATTTGGAAAAGTGACAGGTATCCAAAGCTGAATCGCCAAGGTGTCATATATTTCCAGCTTTGGCAGACGTTGTGTATTGGGTTTTTGCCCTCTACTGTAAAGTACGTAAGATCAGACAGTTGGTGGTATTATTTCAAAGGATTCAGCTCCCTTATTTATTTACCAATTCCTCTGAAAACTGGCCAGAATGCGTCTCAAATGTGTGTTTACAAAACCGTATCTCAGATTTTTGATATCTTGCTCAGTTCTCGAATTATGAGGGGAAATGTAGAACTAGGCTAATAAATTGGGAACATTGAAATACAAATGGATGTAACTTTTGAATAAGATGATTTATCAAAAATCTAAGATACAGTTTCAAAGTTCAATCTTTAATCTACATTGAGACAAACTTTTGAATTTGAGAGGTGGAATACAAAAAGTTATTTATTAAATATAAATGCACTAATTTTTACATTAAAATATTAATAATTTTTTTATAAGATAACAATGAGAATTTAAATTAAGATAATTAAATAGTAAATTTAACAAGCTTTCAAATGATATATACTTTTAATATGTTAACTTTGTTAATGAAAGAATTACAAGCAAATTAAATTTTTCCCTTTGGAAACCTTTGGTGTATCCTTAAAGTGACATGAAAAGAAAGTATTATCGCTTCACTAACAGCGCGTGACAGTTAGCTTGATAGGGCGTGCTAAAATTTCGTACGCTGATTAACATTTTACTCATCGATTGGATGTTTGATTTCAATGGAATCAATACTACTTTGCATATGAAACACAAAACCCAGCAATACCCCTGACAATACTGACCAATCGCATTGAATAAACAGATGTGATGTGAACGGACAAAGCATGTTTTACTTCAATGATGATATTGATAGCTACTTAGTACAGCAGTTGCAGAACAGCCTTTAATTACTAAATTCATTCTTTGAATTTAAATTTAATTTAATACATGCTTTTTGAGGACAGAAAACGGACTTTGACTGACCACGTGTTGCTCCTGACAACAAATGCCATATTGGGAAACAATAATTCAATGTGATTCGCCAGTATTAATGGGGTATTGTTGTATTCCGAGTTTCATATGCAAATTAGTATTGATTTCATTGATCCAATCGATGAGTAAAATGATAGCCAGCACACAAAATTTTAGCACGCCCCATCAAAGAAACTGTCACGCTGTTTGTAAAATAATAATACATATAGACACATACTGACTGGATAGCCAAATCAACACACCCGCAACCAAAGCAACCAGGATCGACCCCACCCATCCCAAAAGCAGTAAACAATTTTTCATTATAACCGAAAGCATTACCATGACACTGTGTCATTACCCTAGGTCTGGAACTAAGACTTGGATCGAACTGCGATGAAGTTTTATACAGGTGCACAGGGAAAAACCATATCCGTAACAGCAAGGCAATGCTTAGCCTAGTTATATTGAAATTTAATCATTCTATTGTGTGTGCATTCAGAGACTTCTTTAAATTAGGGAGGTACATTAATATAAGGTTTTATTTTCAAGGGCATGTAAGGAAATAAAAAAAAAACAAAACAGCAAGGCTAATAATACTCAGTTGAGTATTGTGGCACAAGGGCTGTGGAGTTAAGATGAACTTAACTTATATCAAATCATACATAATGCATTTATACAGGGTATAAAAGATTCATCAGCAGAACAGCAAACTCCTTTTACCTCGGTAGTCATATACTGTTTAATAAACATCCCCGTTTATTGTGGATTCAACTTTAGTTGAGCAATAAACCTTTTGTTTAGGTTAAAATATGGGATCAATATTTTATGGGATTGGAAAAATGATAAAGCTATCTCATGACAAATAGCAGGGCCAAGATTACTCTCCTGAATTGTATGGTCCTTGGGCTTGAATTTATTTCTGACATGAATTGGAACAATTCACCTTATTTATATGCATAAAGCAGAGCTGTCATTTCTTTGTAAACTATAGACATTTATATAGTATTCACAATTTCATTAAGATATACATTGAAAAATGATTAAGGAGAAAAAAATGTTTATTTATATTGAATACAAATATTTGATTTTCTTCACTTGTGTGTTTCTGAATTGAACCACAAACAGATTATCATTTGTATCTGTACACAGTCCCCAGGGTTCACTCAATCCACACTCTATGTAACGGAGGAACTGTCCATCCTGGTCTATGATGTGGACACAGTCGTTGTTAATATCAGCTGTAAGAATGTGACTCTGACTGTCTGTGGTGATTCCTAGTGGATTGAATGGTCTGTTCTTTTGAGCAGGAGTATGTCCAATGTACTTGAATCTTAGTTTCCCGGCCTGGTTTACCACCACTACGGTTTTAGCTCCCTCATCAGACACACAGATATCCAGGTTCCTGTTCTCAGTTATGTATCTGTCATAATAACCAGATGAATAGAGAGGTTTACGTTTATCATCAAACTGAATGGTTTGTTTCTCTATGGAGCCAGCATAACGGACCACTTTTGTTTGTTTGTTATAACTGAACATGATAACCAGGAGGTCACCAGAAGAGGTACTACAGACATTTCGAGGATTCCAGTTCTGTTGTCCGATCACCTTCTCTATCTTCCCATTCTTCACAATGTTCACAGTTCTGTCACCATAATCAGTATATACTAGATCTCCACTTTTTGCCACTGCTATATCAGATGGCCAGTTCCCTGACTTAGTTGTGATTGACTTGAGTAGTGACCCCTTATTGATGCTGTAGAGTTTCATGGTTTTGTCATTTCCTCTTGTCCAAATTTCTTCATCACTCAGACAGGCTGCACTGTAAATGAATTCATTATACTCAGTGTTAATGCTGGAGCCGGTCTCTGGTACATCAAGCAGCTGTTTGACTGGGGGAGAGGATCCGGCTTCTGGTGATTTCTCTGTTGTCTTCATTCTGTAACCATGTTTATCTGATGTTAAAGAACTTGATACTAGAGTTCCAAACATTTTATTTAGTTCTTTTCCTTGGCATTTTCCTGGAATGAATTTGGGTAAAGATATCATGATTTTGGGTGGAAGATTTCTGTATCTGTGTACATTGGATGTTACACTTAACAGTTTTGATAAGTCATTAGTGTCTACAGCCATTTTAACTGAATTGATTTCATGCTTGATTTGAGACATTTTTGATTTTATTTCGTCCAGATTTTTCTGTAGAGTTTGTAACTGATTGTTTTTCATCTTATCAACTTCAGCTTTAAGTTTCTTGACAAGTTTGTCAATTTTTCTGTGCCAGTCCTCTCCATGTTTTGTTATGACTGTTGAAAGATCTCCATATTCCTTTTCTAACTGGCTCTTTCTGTTTTGTACATCAGAGGCAATGTCCTGGTAGGTGGGATAAATTGTTTCATTTAATTCATGTCTTCCTTTTTTAAACATATCTTTCTTTTCATCCAAAACTCGAAGGATATTAGATAATTCATGACTTAAATGTTGATTGGATTCAAGGCAGCTGATACACACAGGAAAGTCACATTGTTTACAGTACATTTTACATCGTTCTTTGCTATGGGTTGTACATCCAGGGTAGAGGGGGGTAGATTTCCTGTATTGAAATTTGACAATTTTATGATCTTTTGATTCATCTGTTGAGATGTGTTCTCCCACACAGGTCTTACACAGGTTGACAAGACATGTATCACAATGCATTTGTACTACAGCGGTCTCATACAGGTCACATCGCATCACGTCCTGGGCACTGGTGCGGGGGTCCATCTTTAGATTCTGTGACTGAAACAATGCATGTTCAATACTAATGTCAGATAATGCATTTATTGAAAGGGCAAACTTTTATTATACTAGAGAACCACATTGTATGCATGAGGCTTGTTATGGTTTTTGTCATACCTGTATTTTGCAGACATGTTTACCAAATCGTGAATACATATAAAGGTTAGACTTTTTCTCTCTTGTCACTCGGTTATTACCTTAAATTTCTACTGTTTAACTCAGTACTTTCATTGTCCCACTTGGCGAGACTCCATAATGGTAGCAGTAGGATTTTCATGAATTTGTTTATATTGAAAGAAAACAACAGAACTTTGGCTCACAACACTGTCAACTGATCAAACTGACCAACTGACCATGAACTAATTTTGTATGCAGAAAAAACATTGACCAAATGGGCATTTGCTCTCTAAAATATACTTGCTAAGATTAAAATTCACTAGCCCCAATCCAGGAGGCCATAATTTATTTTGAGCACAGTACATGTATATAAACCAGTCTTTTGACTTTTGACACAGGATTATTACACATATTGAATCATTATTTAAAGAAAATTTTGTTCACATGATGAAAGTTTGTAGTACTAATTTCTTAAGAATTTGAAAACAATTTTTAAAATTACAAAATGCGTCAATTACTTCTATGTTCATTACCTTCAGTAATGGCGGTCGTCCTGTCTATTGATCTCTGTATAAACTCTGATCACATGACCCACTTACCTTTGTTATCTACCTGTCAGGTGTCGCTGCATTTCATTTCCGGAAATCTGTATAGCATTTCCGACATTTTTTGTTTGCATTTCCGACATTTTTTGTTTTCATTTCCGACATAATTTTTTTTTGTCATTTCCGGAATTTACCTGTGCGGCAATTCAATGTTTTCTAAGTAAAAGAAAATGGAATTTTAAAAGTATTAATGCCAAAATATTAATTAAAATTAAATAAAAAAATCTATACATATATGCATACATGTAGTAGCACTAAGTCTAGGTAAAAGAGTTTAATGAGCATTAAACTTTTTCACCATATTTAATGTGCACTAAATCAAATGTCAGTAACAGCACCATACTTATGTCCAGCTCACTGATAGATTTACAAAATTGGATTTTATTGATTTATGATTTATTCCTTTAAATTTTTCATAAGTAAAGTTATCAAATTTGTTACTATAGGTACTAATTATGTATTTGAAAAATGTCGGAAATGAAAACAAAAAATTGTCGGAAATGAAAAATTGATAATTACCAAAAATTCCGGAAATGAAATGCAGCCTCAGGTGTATATACTTTCTGGTCTATAGTGAGGATTTAGATATATTCAGAAAATTAGTAAAGTCTCTAGATATTATATAGAATTATTTGAGATGTTATGGTATTAACACCATATTTATATACCATAACTCACAACCCACCCCACACTTTTTGTTTTAAATTGATGAAAGTTAAAGTTCAGAAACTTTCGGAGAAATGTCGTCTGTTTAATCGTGAAGAGATGTGAATAGAAAAAATAATTGTGAGTCGTTTGATTTATTACTGTATTTCACTGGGAAACTAGGTATCGTATTGGAGGAAGTCCAAACCTTCATATATTTACACTCCCTCCCTCCTCCTCCAATGTTGTTAGTCTAAAGGCCTGTGATTCAAATTAGAAAAGCAGAGTTATTATTTATCATATTAACATCAATTCTCTGAAAGGACCAAAAATGCTTGGCCACGCACTATCATGGAATTTGAAATTATCAATATGATATTAAAGAGTGTCCTATATAAAGACTATAGGTGGGTAAATTTTGGACAGTGCTTCCTCGGTTTCCATAGCAACGGCCTTGAAATACTTTGCCATGGCGAAAATGACCTAATTATCATCACCATGCAAAATAATTCCATGCTTCCTAAACATAGAAAAGTTGAGAAAGTAACATGGGTCTCATTTTATAGCTAACTAATCAATGTTTCTTGGCATATAAATTTTATTCACTTTAACTCAAGGTTTTTGATAAAATACAGATCTATTTACGCGAAGATTGTCATAAAATGAATACAAAGGTACCTATTTCTTCACGTGCATAGAAATTTTTGCAGGCAATTTCAACTTATAAAAAAGGTTTTTTCAGTAAGATGGAACTTACATCTAAAAGATACAAAAAGATTTGAGGTGGGTAAATCAGTTAAATGTTGTTTTCCATTCGCCTGAAATCATCACTTTTCATGAAAATTGACCGAGAGTTATTTCTCTTTGCTGACTCTTTTGCACTGAAGACAAAAAATGGTTGACTCTCCTGTCAAAAGAAGTTTCTAACAACATGTGGTAAAACAGACACCAGGAAAATAAACAAGGAGAAAATGATGTTTAAGTTGTGAGTGACAAAGTAAGTCATCAATCAATTAATGAAAATGAAAGAGACAGGTCTTGTGAAATATTGGAACAAAATTTATGAAGTCTGACTAGAGGGATTTCATCTATTCTAAAGACCCATACGTACATTATGATGCAAATGGAAGAAAACATTAACAAGCAGTGGATACGGCCACCCGGAAATCAGTAGGAATGGATCTACCCTAGGCAAAAAATGTAGAAAGTTGTGTTTACTTTAGAAAGCAAAATAACTTACTCTTGATAATCATATAACTATTAATAAGAAGAAGAATGTAATAGAAGATGTAACATAAGTTTGTGTGTATGAAATGAAAAATTAATATGTGTTTTCGGGTACAGACTACATTGTTGTTGTTAAGTATGTGTGTGTGTGATTGTTTTCTTTGGGGGGGGGGGGGGGGTGCTCTAAAATATTTAGGGAAGTGTGCATAAATTAGAGACGGACGTAAACACATGCATATTATAAGGCTCTATTCAGTTTGACTATGAAAAAAAATTAATAATTTTTAATTAACTTTAGCAATATATACACACTTTAATAAAATACATGTATAAACATTGGCGTCGGAAGCAAATTGAAAGTGGGGGGGGGGGCTAAGTTTAAAAAAAAAATTGTGCCTCCAGAAAAACCTGACAAGCAAAAAAAAAAAAAAAAAAAAAAAAAAAAAAAAGTCCCAAACACGAAAATCCTGTAGGTTCGAACTCCAGTACCAAAAATTTTCTTCCAACCACCACCACTTTCCCCATTTTTAACCTACACTAAGACGTCTCTGTGGAAAGTGGGGGGGGGGGGCTAAACTTACTAATATATGTTCAATGTCTATACTAAGTATATATTTGGAAAAAACCATACTTGATTCACAAGCAAATTTAAAATTAATTGTGGGTACACCTTATTACTTACAAGTATTCAATCAAAATTTGTTCAGGAAAGTTTTTCTTGTATTTACAAATTCATAAATTGAATATATTAAACTATTATGCAACTGTACTTGGATACATGTATTTATGAAATAGTATGAATATCCCTAACAAACATAATGCATATATATGATTTATGCAAGAAAGTTGCATATAAGTCCTCTAAATAACTATAAATAGAGTAACCCTAAATAGAAATACTAGTATCCAGTGTACAGCAATGAACTATATAGTTGCAAGTGATTAGGAAATAATCTTTGTTTTTATGTTGTTTTAAAATCTTTTTTAATACAAAGGTTATATACCAGAAACAGGAGGCAGTAACAAAATTAATAAACGAAGACAGAAAACTTGCAAGTGATCTTGCATGAGAACTGAACACCAGGCAGTATCGTTACCAATCAGTATTCTTTTGGAGGGAATTCTGTTTAAAGAAATTGGAGATCAGAAGTTTTGAAATTTGTGATGGTAAATTCACTAAATTGTTTAGGTTGCTTTTATCTTCCATTGGTTATACTTAAAATATTTTTGAGGTTTTTTTTTCAAGGTGTAAATACAAACAATTGGTATAGAATTAAATACATCATAGGGAAAAATATATCAATTTTGTTTTCACATGAAAAAATGTTGTAGATAGATAATGACTTTAAATTAAGGTATAGATGTATGTTTTTTTTTTATTCCAGGGAAAAAGTGGAAGATGATTATTTCAAGTGTCACTTTTTAAACCCACTTTCTTCACTGGACAGCCATAACACCACATACAGCAAGGCTTGTTTAGTACAAACATGGATATTGTGAATTTACGGATAAAGCGAAGTCATCTTGGATCCCCAACTATATAAATTTAACACATTCCTTATACAGATATAACAAATTACAGATATAGCAAAGTAATTGCGAAGGTCCCCATGCTTTTGTTATAACTAAGTTTAATTACTGTAACAGTAAACGTCTGATGTAAAACAAAAATGGTGTAACATTAAGTCTAGCTGTTTCAACAAAATTGTTATGTAACAGATTTTTTTCTATACATATTTTGACATATAAATACACATTTTAGATAATGTTCAGAATGAAGATTTTCTTGATTAATAATTTGAAAAAAAGACTGTATTAATATAAAAGTTGTTATATATACATGTACTGTAGATCACATAATTTTTGCAATTATTTTACCTTATTTTCACAACATTGTCATTGACTCTTTTTTAAATAGACACACTTTTCACAAATTGGTGTCAATACTCTTTTTTAATCTCAAAAAATACTATTTTATGTGAGAATTAATTTTCTGAAAGTACAAAGTCTTGTTTAATAGTGGGAAAATAATGTTTTCGTGAATAAAACTGATAAATAGAATACACATGAGTATGTGTATATTTACAGATTGTAAGTGATACATTTATGAATTTTTCAATGTGTTGTTAGTTTTATATTCAATTTAAATTCAGCACCTTTTCTCCATTTTGTATCTAGTATTTGAAAATATTGATTACGGGGCAAAGTTCCTGTGAAAAGTTTTCAGTTGTTGTTGGTGTTGCAAGGTCTTAACTAGATGCTGTCATGAGACAGTAATACCCGCACTATGGTGTTTGCCTCTAAAAATACACTCATTCATATTGGACTTTCCAAGGAAGAAGTCAAAATAATTCTATAATTATCACCGTACATGTATTCGTCAAATTGAACATAAAATTTTCAGATGACCATATCAACTCTGAGCCTCACATATGTATTTTAAAATACTTAATTCATAACCAGTCTGAAATAACAGAATTTAATTAATGATTGAAGTAAATTTCTTAATTAGATTCAAATAAATAATTTTCCCATAATTTGGAACTTTTTAAATTTACTTTCTCAACGACATAAAATATTATTTTAGTACAAAGCATTTTTGATGAATTTATCAAAATGTGCAAACTGATTTTAGTATTTGGTCGGGAAAAAAACCCATTGAAAATACAACCCGATTAATTTGTCAATGCCTATCTCCCCCCCCCCCCCCCCCCCACACACACACACACACACACTCTCTCTCACTCTCACATTTTTTAAAAAAACATAGTTTAGTTTATTATGATAGTTTGAAATTTGTTCTTGTACTAAACAGTTTTATTTTCTACATTCACATTGGGTTTGCGTCACCCATTATCATATTTATAGATATCACCTCTCGGCACACCTCGGCCAATTCATACTGGCAACGGAATCAGCAAAGGTTTGTCGAATGAGATTATTTAGCACATGTATGCTGACGATGCAGTGTGGTCAGTTAAAATCATTTGTGTTTTAATTGGATTATATGGATTATATTTCATGAATTCGTTGTCACGACCTATGACATTCGGTAAGTACAAGATTTAGTATAGATTGCATAAAAATAAATAAATGCAAA